ATGCTGTGGCCAAATGGAAGTTTTCTAGGACGGCCGTGTCGTGATAACGCAGCGCCTGATGCTATGCCCCTCCGTCGCATTTGGCAAGCAAGCTATCGACATCAGAGAGAGAGAGAGAGATAGCGAGAAACCTGCAAAGCCGTTTATCCTGGTTTTGTCAGCAGCTCGGCAATCGGCAGGCACATGTGCCACAACCTTTTGGTTTCTGCCTGGGCGCTCGGTTTTCCCCATGGCCTGATTACTTCAAATCATGCTGGAAACATGTTAGCCGGGACATTCAATCTGGCGCATCTCTGTCAGTGGGTGAGTTTATGTGCTGATGCAAGTCATGCTTGTAGCTGTGCCGCAGGTCCTACGAGATGTCAATGACAACAAGGAAGGATCCGAAAGGGAAGCCACCAAGGGACTCGTGTCAAAGCCTCCAGCATGAATAATATCTGGCGCCTGCAAGGTGCCTCGTGTCAAAGTGCAGCCAGGTGGCTAAATCTGTTTTGGTCTTGACCAAGAAGTCCTTAGCAAATTGGAAGCCAACCTGCAGTGGATCCTAGCAGGTTGTACCCCGGTTAACCCTTGCCAGAGGTACCTGGCGCGCAGGAGAGGATAGTACCTGACGCGCGGGATCAGGATAAAAGGTACCTGACGCGTGTGAGGGGCCGTAGTACCTGACGCGCTGGCACTGGTACCTGATGCGCGGGAGGGGGAATAGCAATTGACTCGCGTGATCGGGTGATGTGCGGAAGGGGGTGTTGTACCTGATTCGCGGCATCGGGATGGGAGGTACCTCGCGTGGGATCGGAATAGGAGACACCAGAAAAGGAGGAGTTGCCGGGGGATGAGATCGGGATAGGAGAGGCCCCTGGCAGGGGAGATGCCTGACGCGTTCCTGACACGCGGGATAGTAGTGGGATAGGGGCGTGAAAGGGGTACGATACGCGCGGGGTCGGGGGATAGTAGGCCCCTGACGCGCGAAGGGCCTGATGTGCGGGATCGGGATGGCGCCTGACGCGCGGCAAAGGATAGTACCTGACACGCGGGATCGGGATAGGAGGTACCGGGCGCGCGGGATGGTCGTGTCGGATGGGGGGGGGGTGTGGGGTTGGGAAGTCAATTGGTTAGCTTGGCTAGTTGGTTAGCTAACCAGTCAATTAGTTGGTTAGTGGATAGGAGGTACCTGACTCGTGTGCGCGCCGGATCGGGATAGGGCACCTGAATCGTGCGGAATCGGTGCTATGCGCGAGAGCGGGGATCAGGATAGGAGCCCCCTGGCGCGCGGGAGGTACTTGGAGGGGGCATAGCACCTGACGCGCGGGATCAGGATAGGAGGTGCTTGACGCGGGAGAAGGGGGGATAGTGACGCGCGGGCGAGACTTGCTTTTTGAATGCCCACTTTTGATATTGCTGCTGGCCTTGGCCGTGGGACAGGATGAAGCTTGAAAGTCGGACAAAGCAAAGAGATAGCAAATTGACCAACGCATCGATGCGGTAGGAAGCAGCACGGCGCAACTTAAAACTGTGACAAACGATCCACGTCCTAGCCTGCTATTAGGAAATGGGGCACTTTCAGGGCGGTTCCACGCAAGCCGGAAAGATTGCAGGAGACTTCGACCGCCTCCAAAATGCCGTGCGAGGGGGCATAGCACACGACCTGCGGACCTGACTCGCGGGATGGGAGGTACCTGACGCGCGGCAGGGGGAGAGTAGGGTGCCTGACGCGTAGGGGGAAAGTACCTGACGTGCGCGATTGGGATAGGAGGCCGCTGACGTGCGGGAGGGGGGATAGGAGGTTATCTGCCACACGTGGTTGGGCAAAGAAGCCCCTGACGGGGGATAGTACCTGCCGCGCCGGGAGGAGGTACCTGACGCGCGGGGTCGGGGTAGGAGCTACCTGACACGCGCGAGCGGGGATAGTACCTGACGCGCGGGCTGGAGTACTTAATGGATCCTAGGAACCTGGAGTTGTCCCGCAAGCGCCGCACGAATCAGCATGCACACGGGGAAGTGGGACCCGTGCTTGAGTGGCTGACCTTTAGCCCAAGCCTTTGGGAGGCTGCAACAGGTGTTCTTCCTACTCAGTCAAGGCTCGTTGTTGGTGCCAGGGTGGGCGATATCATGGATCGCTGCTGCGAGGAGAACCACTAGCAGGTCCACCTGTAGCTGGGGCAATGCTCCAGTGAAATGGCAGCCGGCCCTTGGACCATGGTCGCCCCTAGAAGGTGTGGGCAGCCCCCCCTCTTGCAGCAAAGCAGGCTCCTGAATTCTGTTGCGATGGCTTCTGTCATGAGCCCCGCATCCCGCACGCGCCTGCTCGAAATAGCCCTTGAAGGAGCCTGCGGAGAGGTAGGACCAAATCTGGTAGGTCATCAGGGTCACCTCGAAAACAGGCCAAATCGGCCAAATCGCGGCAATCCGTGCTACCCAACAGCAAATTCTGAAGCTGCACTTTCAGTCGGAAATGTTCAAGGACTGTTTTGTCTCCCACTGACCTTAGGGCAGGGGAACCCGCCTGCCTCCGCAGCGTGAGCATTGTTGTGGTAAGCATTCCTCAGACGCATGTCTTTGGACAGTATTGCAGTCTCACAGGCATTCTTGCATGTTGCTCTGACCATCTTAGAATCTTGTCTCTGTCTCTAGCCGCGGCGCGTTTTGTGGTATCCGGCCTCTACAGCGCGGATGTAATCCTGTACCTTGTTCTTCTTGGCCTTGACCAAGCCACTCAAATTGTGAGAGTGCCAAATGGCCATGAAGACTTGGTACATGGGCTCGCCACATCTTTTGTCAAGATCCAGTACCTGGGTGAAGATCAGGCCAATATATATATATATATATACATATATATATATATATATATATACAGGCCAATGATGGCGCCCAAAAAACCCTGCTGCAAGGGTCTTTGGAATGAGGCAAACAAGCGATGGGCGTGCTCCTTTCCACATGCACTCCACTCCAGAAACCCATTCGTCATGATGACTGATCGAATGATATGCGGGAGGGACCGAACAATTACACGACCAGAATGCTAGTTTGGTCTCATTGAGACTCATGGGCCCTTTGCAACAACAAAAGCCAAAAAAACAACAACAGTGCGGCGTTTTGCTCAAGCTCACGGCCAACCGAATCGGTGGACTCCGTGGACCGTTTCTCCAAGGTGCGTCCACTCCATCCCAAACGTCGATTTGCATCTTGCTGATCAAGCCTTCGAAGTCCGTAGAAGCAGACTGCTGTATGCCCCGGCTTCTGGGCGTGGCACCGTTGTCGGTCCATCGATCCTCCAAGCTAAGTCGAAGGTGGGAAGCAGGAGAGGCAAATGCCCTTGCTGAACTTTTGAGCAAATCCTATCTAGAACCCTTGCAAAGCTCAGGGCGGGCCCCGTCTCATGTTTCATTCCGTGGATCGATTTCCAGCAATCTTGCCTTTTCACCCCATCCTCAATACACCTGAAGTGATCATCCAGAAACAAGCGCCTTTCTCAAATCATGCAACCGCACCAACCTCCCAATCCAACTTTTCACAGAGCTGCTCAATTCTCCAGAAAGGCACGGCCAGTTCTGCATCTAACCCCCCCAACCAAAAATCAAAGAGGCAGAAGGCAAATTGGCTTTTGATCTTGTGCTTCCAAGCAGCCAGCAGGCGCGCGATGCGGATCTCTGTGGTGACCTTGCGCACCACGTCTCGGAGGCTCTTGAAGCGCCGCTTTCTGATTCCAAGAAAAGCGGTCTGCATGACCTGAGCCAAGCACACGGAGCTGACAGGGGGAAAACGAGGTACGGGTCACAAGAGCTGAGCTCAGTTGGCTGACTGAACACTGTTGGGCCGACATCCCAAAGTGACGCCTGACCCCCTATTAAACAACCCCGGTTTATTAATAGGGGGGTGTTCCCCTCCAACAGTGAACAATCCCTACTAAACCCAGGGACACCCCCATATTAATAAACAGGGGTTTATTAATAGGGGGTGTTCATTCTCATTCTGGTACAGTGACTCTGTTTGTAGAACTCTCGCTGAAAATGACGGGTCAAAAATGTTTGCAGCAGGTTCGCCTGGCTGGAAACAACCACAACGGATCCATTCAATTCCTTGACGCAAAAAAGTTGTGACAGCAAGGCCCGTGGCAGCCCTCTGCACGGGTCTTGAGGACATAAAGCAAAGCGAAAGGGCTTGCCAACTTAGGCTAGAGACCGTATTCTCTGAGCTAGAGACTGTACTGGCGCCTCGGTGCAACCTGTGCATCTCATCAGAGATCCCCTGCATCTTCTCATCAAAGAACCGTCTTGTGGGATAGCTTAAGCTACGTCCATGGCCCACCTTTCGGTATCTCATGACAAAAGATCGCACATCCTCCTCCAGCTTGCACAGCTGAGCCTTCATGTCCTGGATCTCTGCTGCATCAGGAAACTCACCACTACTCACCGCCTCTACGGCGTCGGTGGCCTCCACAGCGTAAGGATCTTGCGAATACAGGGAATTGAGACCCGCAATCTTGGCATCTGTGGTGGCTAGCTCTGCCTTCGCATTCGCATCCTCGAGCGTGACCTGCCTGAAATTTGTTTCCATGATCCGCATCACATCCTCGTCCATGTCTTTATACTCTCGCTCCGCGTCATGCGAGCTGCATTCTCGGCCCAGGGAGGTGCCCATTGCTGGAGCCTAAGGACACATCAAGAAAACACGTGCCTCTTCCTTCCCTTTGACTGAATCGGCTGCGTGCCACCACCTGTCTTGCAACTCGGTTCCAGTATTTTCAAACTATCGCCCTGATGCCTTTTCCACGGGCACCATTGGTATCACTTCAAGTTGTATAAGACCAACACCAACGTAAAATTCGGATACGTAGACTTGCCAGATCTTGCCATTTGCTCCATTGCATCTCAACAACTCAGCAATCCTCCGTCTACTCTTGGACTGAGTTGAAGGGTTGGGTTTGGTTCTTAAAGCCCTTACAAGTATGGTGCCTGGCGGCTAGCAATCGGTCATGACATGAGTCGAGCCAAGCTTGTGGCTATCCACCGCTTCCAGCATCACCGCCAGCTGAGACATGTCCTCGCAGGAAACATGGACCCCAGGCGCCTCCTTTTTGCCTAGCCGGAGGAGCAGCACCGGAGAGGACAGTATTTAAACATGACAAACTCAGGTCTTGGCCTGACCCGCGGAGTTTGTTTTCCCATGCAGCCCCAGAGCCTTGGCTGCTCAAACGCTTCGGGTAAATGCAGTTGCGATGGGGCAACTCTAGGCGCATCGAGCGACCAGAATGAAGGGTGTGCTATCCATCCTCCTTCCTTAAGGGGGAGGAGTTGTGGAGTACCCCAATTCCAGTTTGCTAGTTTCCCTGCAAATGCGACATTGATCCATAGATGCCATAGTTGTCGCCCCTTTCCCCAACCCAATCAACTTTGTGTTCATTGAGTTTCGATGGGCAGGCTGGATTTGTGGATTGTTGGCAACCACCCCCAATTCGGAAGCGAGATTGGGGTATCCATTTGCAGCGGACCCTTGCCTCGCAGTCAACGCAATGCTCTGACGGCAAACAGCCCAAGAACGTCAGGGCGCGCGGAATCCGGGGCAGCAACCGCTGAAGACCTCTTGGCCACATGGTCCACTTGCTCGGGGGAGCAAGTGAGCAACGGCTTCGGCCACTTGGTCCACTTGGTTCACTTGCTCTGGGAGCAAGTGGGTAACCCACTTGGCCTTGGTTCACTTGCTTGAGGGAGCAAGTGGGCAATGGCTTTGGGCACTTGGGGGAGCAAGGGCCACTCAGTCCACTCAGTCCAGTTCGTTGGTCCACAAAAGGAAAGGTGTAAGTGGACCAAGTGGACCAAGCGGACCAAGAGAACCAAGTGGACCAGTCGGCCAAGTGCTGGACCGTGTGGAAAGAACAAGTGGTCCAAGCGGATCGGACCAGTGCAACAAGTGGGAAGTGGACCAAATGCCAAGTGGACCAAGTGCCCACATGCTCGGCGGGCAGACCCGTTGGATGCGTACACCAAGTAGACCGCGCAAGTGACGACGGCCGGACAAGGCGACCAAGTGAGCAAATGAACCAAACGGAATACGCGGAGCTGACCCCTCGTCCCATTGGGCGGACAATGTCCGTTGTTCAATTAGGGATCGGACACGCGAAGAAATGAACAACGTGATCCGCATCCCAGCGGGCAGGCAATGTCCGTTGTTCAAATATTGAACAATCGGCCAAGCCGGTCATTCAATTAGGGGTCGGATAGGCGATAGACAAAGAAATGAACAACTTGGCCAACTTGGTCCACTTGCTCCACTTAGACGCACGCTCAGGGAGCAAGTGGCCAACGCTTGGCCACTTGGTCCTCTTGATGTTTTCTCTCTCTCTCTCTCTCTCTGTCTCTAGAACTATATGTCTCTATAAAATAGCTCTCTCTCTCTCTCTCTCTCTCTCTCTCTCTCTCTCTCTCTCTCTCTCTCTCTCTCTCTCTGTACCTACCACGCTTTCTCTTTCTCCGTACCTACATCTCTATGCTTATCGATATCACTGCCTTTTTTTTTGTAAAAAATACTTTTCTACACACAGTACGTCTCTCTGTCTAACTTCGGCTCTCTCTCTCTCTCTCTCTCTATGTATAACTATCTCTCAATGTCTCTCTCTCTCTATCACTATCTCTCTCCATCTATCTAATAAACTGCCCCTCTCTCTCTCTCTCTAGAACTCCTCTCTCCCTCTCTACAAACAACAATCTCTCTCTCTCTCTATCTATACAACTGTCCCTCACTATCCCAAAAACAAAACCACTCTATATACATGTATGACTTTATCTCCCTCTGTAAGACAACCGCTCTCCAATTATCTCTCTGTCTAAATTCTCATATCCGTCTACCTACACACATACATCCCTCTACCTATGCACATCTATATATTTATTTGTTGCGCTCTCCCCCCATCCAAATAACTATCTCCATCTCTCCCTATCTACATACCTAGATCTTTTTCCCTATCTATGTATCTATATTTCTCCTTGTCAATTAAAGCATCTGTCTCTATATAACTATCTCTCTGTCTCTATCTACATACCAAAAACAGAAATATCTCTCGATATCTACATCCGTCTCCCTCTACAACTGCCTCAATCTTTCTATCTATATACCTGTATCTCTCTATCTATGTATCTTTCCCTCTCTATCTCTATCTATCAAAAATCATCTCTCTCTTTCTCTCGATGTATACCTATCGCTCTCTCTCGCTCTGTCTAGGTAACTAGAGATGTTATACCTGTGTCTCTCTCGCGCGCTCTCTCTCTCTCTCTCTCTCTCTCTCTCTCTCTCTCTCTCTCTCTCCTCCCTCCTTCCATTAATCCCATAAACCCACATCTTTATCCATATAGCTGGCCCTCTCTCTCTCTCTATAACTAAACCAATCTCTCTCTCTCTCTATATATATATAAATATGAGAGGCAAATGCTGTGTGGTAATAATTTACACGTAACACACGTGATTTTTCGTAAGGGGAAATAAGCAACTCTTGGGGCACACGTAGAGAAAACACTTGAGAAAACATTAAACACGCATAGAGTGAAAACAAAACAAAACATTCGAGAAAACGTTAAAACAAAGCCCCAGACAAAAGGTCCTGGCCCCAAGTCCGACATTTGCCTTGGCAAATGTAGGAGTTGAGCCCATGACCCTTTGTCTGAGCCTTTGCTTATTTTTGGTTGTCTTGAAGCATGTTGGAATTTGATGATCCCTGGTGCCGCGCTTTCATCTTTGCAGACATTGCGCCAAAAGGCTTCAGATTTGGCTACAGAGTGACCGCACACTGCGAACAGTGGGTTCCCAATTGCAGCCATATCTAGGCTGATGCTGCCTCACTGCAAGTTCGAGGAAGCAGGGTGCTATAAACACTCCTTAGGCTCATTGTGCAAGGCTCCGTATAAAGCTCCGTATAAAACTCCTCGGCAATGTCCGTTGTTCAATTCGGTATCGGATAAAGAAAGGGGTTGAACAACCCGACCCTCTCTTGGCCACTCGGTCCATTTGCAAAGCAAGTGGCCAAATGGCGCTGGCCACTTGGTCCACTTGGTTCACTTGGCCACTTGGTCCACTCAGCGCTTGGGAAGCAAGTGGGCTTTGGTATTTGGTTTCCTTGGCCAACAAGTGGCCAAGTGGACAAGTGGACCAAATGGCCACGGCCACTTGTCCGCTTGCTCGGCAAGCAAGTGGACGCAAGTGGACGCAAGTGGCCTTCAGCGGTTGCGAGCGCAAGGTCCGCTTTCCTTGTGGGGCATGCTCTGTGTGAACTGCGCAAACTAACGCGGTAGGACTCTCTTTCACAGGTACGGCACATCTTCCTGTCCGTTTTTTCTTGGGGGGGGACTTGTCTTGACCCTCCTCCAGCGGTCGACCGCAACTTTGCTTTCCATGCGCGACAACCGTCGCTCACGATAACTGTTCTTGGCCCGCAGCGCAGCAAAGGCTTGGAGGAAATGATTTGGACCATCATTGAGAAAAGCCCCCTTGAAAACACCCAAACAAAGCGCAGCGGGCCTAGATCAAGAACACGTTCAATGTGCAAATCCAGCCCTCTGCATCCTCCGCGGTCCCCTGCACGAAAGCTGGCCCTTGCTCATGGTCAACGGGCTGGCACTTGCGCCGCTGGGTGCGTGTGCAAAGACCAAGGGGCGGAACGCATGGCAGGAGCCTCCCCCCGCAGCCCGAAGAAAAAAGCAACAAACCAACAAGCAAAACGCAGCCGTGGCCTGAGCCGCCACATTGTTGGACGGTGATCCAGGTCTTAGTTTCTGGTTCCATTTGCCAAGGCACCATCTTGGTACATGTTTTTGAGCCACAGCCATATTCTTGGTTGATCTGTTCGAAGTGAGCACGCGTGACGACTCCATCTCCGTCCTCGGACTCCACGGCGGCCTCCAGCAGCTGCAGCAAGTAGTAGGCCCGAAGCATTTGCAGGAGCTCGCTGGCCTCGCGGAATCCATCACTTGGCTGTGGGTCAAAAATTGTACCCAAAATGGATTCATGGTAAATTGAAACATGGACTAAAATCTGTGGTCCTCTGGTGGTTTAATTTTGACCCATACCCATTTGATGGTTGAAGCTAGAACAAATCACCTAACTGCGAGATGTCATCCATCCACAGTTGCGTCCCCAACGGCATTGGATCTTGGTTACTAACCTACCCCTCATTTCCTGGTGATCTTGCCCAAAGCCACTTCATTTTCTACAGTGCATGACAGTAAATATCGACCGTCGCTAGCAGGTGAACCTATCACCGTCTCTTAGTCTCGGGGGCGGTGGCCTGTGTGTCGAGCACTATGGGATACGTGAGGGGACCAACGCTGGAAAGCAAAAAGAGGTCTGCGTCTTGGAGTAAGGGCTGTTTTAAACTTTGGAGGGCCCAACTACAAAGCAGGGCCTAGTTTCGACCCGTCTCCTTGTGTCTCCCACCGGATTGCAACAGGTCTCAGCATTTGCTCCGCTAGAGGAACTGGATTGATGTCATCAAATGCGAGGAACGACATCTTGGCATAATGTGCCTCAGAATGAACCTGAAAAGTCTTGCATGGTCTTGTAAAGCAACATGCCCCACGCCCATGGGGAACTTGTGGCAATTCAGATCGTGCAATGCAATGTCGTACATGCCGTTCAGCATGTTGCATGGCCCCCATTTTCGGGTACAATGAAGAAAACCTCAGGTGGCCTCTTCGATTTCTTGCCCGCCAATCTCCGCGCGGAGGGCTGCTGCAATGGCTTTCGCCTCGTTGAACAAAGGGAACGTGTGGTGGACTCCTGATACTGTACTGCCGGGCAATTCTGCTGGAGATTGCCAGCTCTGAGGGAGTGCATGTCATGACTATGACGGACTTAGGGCCGCTCATGCCGAGCCTTGTCTACGGCAGATTGGTGGTTGACGCACGCTGGGCTTAAGTGGCTGACTCTCTCGCAACATGCGCGACTGCCGGGGGGGCAACAACAGCAGGCCAGTGAGGAAGTCATGTCCAAGTGGCCACAGCGCTGCCAACTTGCTGACCTAATTACAGCTGGAGAAAGGTGCCACCAGCGCTAAGGAATGATTGGCACCAACCCAGCGTCCTTGAGCTTATCAACGAATGGGCGTGGCCGCGAGCACACGATGCCACGTGAAGTGATGCACCAGGGACGCTTTGGGGCGTCGGATCGAGAAGGTGGTGCCATGGCCAGTGTGCCATAGACTCTTCGGTTCTGCTCCCCTTAATGGCTGTCTCTTCAAGAAGGGTCCTGTTTTTTGCTTTCGGGATGTCAGCATAACATATGGAGTAGCATCGTAGGATTGGCATTCTGCAACACATTGGGACTCACTGCGACCAGTCACTCTCAGTGCCCAGCCAGCTCTGCCAGCGTCACCTCTGTTGGGTCATCCGCCGCTATACCTCGAAAAAAAGGCATGGGAGGGAGCTGGCCGACCGCCGGACACAAACGGACGACTTCAGGGTGACGGGCCCTGGGTTCGCTGGCCAAGCCAGTTGCAAGGGCTTAAAGGCGTTAAAGGTGTACAGTTGCGTCATGGTTACGTCAGGCCCCGACGCGCAGCTCCGATGAGGTGCTCCAGACAAAGGCCTTGCCTTGGCAACGTTGGCGACAGTTGTGGGTGGTATGGACAGTGTCAGGGCTTGCCGTGTCTTACTGCAATTCATCTCTCTCAGGGAATCTCGAAAGGCAAATAGCCGATTTGATGAGACACGAGCAGTTTCTCAGGGAGCCAGATTTCCAAAAGCATCCTTTCCGCCTGTGGTTGCGGGCCCCCCCCTGGTGCCGAAGCTAGCCAATTGCCACTGAGACCATCAAGCAATGCGGCCATCTTGCTGAGAGGGTCAATCACAGGGCAACCTCTATTTGTGCTTGTAAGAGGCACCATCAGCACCTCACATCTTGCAACCCAGCAAGTCACATGGAAGAGGAACACGTCAAGATCTTTCGCGCGCGCTGGATGCCTTCAAGGCGGTTGCAGAAAGGCACATGCAACACAGATCCGAACCAAGCTTGGTTGAAGCTGAGTGCCCCACATGGCAGTCGTGGCAGACTTCTCCTCGCCTTGCCGCATATAAGTGAAATACCCAAGCGGGGAAGGACGGACGGCTTTATTTGGAGCTCGGAAATTCGGGCCCAGGCTGATGTAGCGCTCGGTCAGCAACCTTTCGAAAGACGCATGCTGAGTTGAACGGCTCTTACTGTTGGTATCCCTTCATTCAGCCCAACCCATTTCTAGCCGTTGCTCCTCCGAAGGGGCAACGCAAAACACCGGTTGCACATCACCTGGAAGTTTCCTGTCTGAGCAAAGTTCGTCCGGTGTAAGGGCGGCTCTCCTCTCGTCAGCGGCCAATGGACCGCCCCACCCCCACTTCGCCGAGGCAGGGGCACTGCGAGCTCGCCGGTCAGCGGCCCGGCCATCGGAGTCCTCACCTTGTTCGACTTCCTCAGGGCGATTGCCACGCCGGGACAACCACGCGACAAGCCCGTCGCGTGTAGATCCGGACGGCCAATGCTCTGGGACTGCTGACTTACGGCACAAGAAATCATTGTATAAGAAATGGAGCGCTGAGATTGCCAAATCAGATGGGTTGCAACTGCAGTTGCTGCAAAAAATGAACCCCCAAGATGTTCCTTCCAGTGCCCGCCAAGGAATCCAGGGGCTCAATTTCTTGGCGGGGAGGGTTCTGTGGCAGTGATACCACTTCCCCGGACCCTTGAACCATCGAACAATTTGCTCCCTTGAAGGGATTGCTTCATAAGAAATTGAGCCCGAAAAGGCCGCTAAGAACTTGAGCCCCTGACTTTCTTAGCAAAGGAGTTCTGCATCACCAGACTACAACCTAGTAAAACAAGACAAGTTGGCGAAGAAATCCAGCGCGCCTGGCTCCAGGGGGTTAAAACAAGCCCTTTCCAAGACGAAATGGACGCTAAGAAATTTAGCCTCCCTGGGCCTCGACCAACCGATTTCTTGTAAAGCGCTCGCAATGTACTTGGCCTAGACAACAGCCTGAATGCCCCCGGATGGCTTTTCTACTTATGAGTTTTGCCACTTTTCGAATGAGAGGCGCATCCTTCCCAGCCCGAGAGCGCCGTTGGACTCACTCCAGGGGAGTTAGGGCGGTCCGAGCGTCTTGAAGATCACCTCCCCCTCGAAGTCGTCCGCTCTATTCTCGGAATCCGCGATGACAAAACTGCAGGGCCAGTGGATCGAGCTTCCCAACACCCGACACCTCCCCCAGTTGTTCGCTTGGGGATGCAAGGAAAACAAAACCATGAATCTTGGCGGATTCCTCATTGCTGGAAACATGCAGTGCAGATGTGGAAGACCATTCAAGGCCCTCACTGAACACGGGTAAGCTCTAGGCATTCAAACTCATTCCCGTCACAGGCCTCTGCAAATCCTCCACGGAGTCAAAGCCAAGCGTCTGAAGCCTCTGGCGTCTGTGCTGCTTTTGCGGAGCGTTGGACAGCTGTTTGAAAGCGAACTCCCGCCTGTCCACCTCCTCTGCAGTGAAGTCCCCTCCTTCCTGGATCCGCCTGGCATTCTCCCAGTGTTGGGCCCTTGTCACTGTCGATTCAATATCACGAGAGGATACTTTGGACAGCGACTGGCACACAAATGTGCTCCCTAGCTTGACAATATTGTCAATGGTGGCTGTCTTCATGTTGACCTGAACGAGTTTGTTTGGGGGCCCGCCCTACCAACAGCCTCTCCATACTGCACCCCATAAAGTGGCCCCAGGTGGAGCAAGCAAGCAAGTGCCAAGGGCTGCGGCCCGCCTCTCGATCTCCTCCATGGGCAGCCCATAGCTCTCCAGCTTCTGCTTATCCTCGTCTGAGAGCCCCGTGGAGAGCCGCCGAAGGCTTTGGGACAACCCGGCGGAGTCCAGCCTGGCGAAAGAGCCACGAATACGAATGCCCCAAGACTACCCCAAAGGTGGACTCAAACCCAGGGGGTTTGCTTTTAGGGAAATCAACCACCTCTGGGTTTAGCTCTTTTTTTGGGGGTAGTCAAAAGGTAGAACCCTGTTTGTACCAGCCAGCCACGACAGCCACGGGCCCCTGCCCCAATAAACTACTGGACTACATGTACCAACAACAGGCTAGGCCATGAGAACTCCGGGCTCAACATTTGCTTTTGTGGCCTGCATTGGCTGTTCTAATCTCCTTTGCGCGCTTCCTTAGAGAGGGAAGCCAATCCGTTTAGCCAAGCCAGCTTTGAACTGCCGATGAACACCAATTGTCAAAGGGTTCACGTAGGAGCACTCTCATCAACAATTGGAGGACAAACAAACAAATCGACACACGCAGGGGACCGTTTTTTTTTTTTTTTTTTTAATAAGGAGTTACCAAACTGTCCATTGGCTTTGCTGTGTTCATCACCCTGCTTCAATTGTCAACATGCTTTGCGAGCAAATCAGACAACGCGGGGCACCAATGGCAGTCATCACATCCCGAGATGGCATTACAATCAGCTCCTGCTGCTACCCTTGCCGTCTGACAAACCTTGCCGTCTGACAAAAAATGCACAAGTGGGCGTTGATGAAAAGGTCCTTTACATGGGATCATGGGATGACCATGGGAAAAACACCACCAGAACAAAATACGACTTTCCCCACATGGGAAAAGTTAAAAACGGCCCATGGTCATTTCGGGGCCCTAAATGGACATATTGATCAATCCTCAAGTACATCGCCTGTGGGCTACACGGATGCCGCACGTCGCATGACTCGCATGGGGCGCATGGGCCACGCCTTTGGAGCTCGTCTGCTGTGAAGTCCTCACCGGCCGCCAAGCGCCTTATCAATGGGTACACGAGTGAGCTCACGAGCTCCACTATCTCAAGCTTTGGCAGATTTTATGGTGTTTGGTTCATATTGTGTCAACCAAAAAACGGTAGGAAAACACATGCCTCAACTTGGTTCCTATGGACTTGTCTCAACGCCAGTGGTTTTGAAGCTAGGGTAAATGTCCTTAACACCGGAGAACTTGCCTTGAAGAACTCCGAAGCTAACATTCCGCAAGAATTCAGGCGAACTGATCTGCAGTATGTGTGCCTCAGCCAGCATCATAGGCGCATAAAGTTGGGACATCCCAAGTCATGATTGCTCCCTAGAGCATTGAAATTTATCATCTTTTGACTCCTGTGAGCAGTCTTACATTCTCCTTCAACAATCACCAGGAACTATCCTACTTGTTTCTGAGTTGCAACACAGTGCCACAAGGTGAGCGGACCGCGAGCTGCTGTTTGGGTCAGCCAGGGGCTGGCCCGCACTCCAACACGAATCACTGGGTGGCTGGCTGCTGCATGATTTCCAGCGGCAGACCAACCATTTCTAACCTGGCGCATGCAACCGGTTCACCCAGGCCACAATGGCACATATCGCTCAGCCTGGAACCTGGAACACCTCAACGCAGTAGAAACTGCCATACGACTGCGCAAGAAGCGCTCCCAGGTTTGAGGTTGCGGCCTGCCATGAGCCCAGTCCCTCTCCACAAGCCCGACGCAGTCGCCTTTTGTGCTCGTCTTCGGACAGCAGTTCTTGATTTGTCATTAGCCTGGGCCAAGGTCAAGGCACAGCAAGTCAGCTTGTTGGTATCCCTGCAATCATCGGGTTCCCAGCTCAAACAGTGGCCGCTGTTTTAGAGCTGGAGAACTGCAAGCGCAGTGCCACGCCACCGAAAGTGGTTGCTCCCTGGGTATGTTGACCCTTGCAAGGTGCAAGGGTGCCAGGAAAGTCCCCCCCCCTCTTGTCAGTGTCTACGGGTGAGGGGCAATGGGCAACCTGCCCTTCCACATGCCTTCCGCATGCTTCCACCAAAAAAAAAAAAAAACAAAACAAATCGCCCACAAACTCAAGGGCCCAAGGGCCAGGCCTCTGCATTGCCACCGCCATGCTGGTGTTGTCCAGCCTGGGTGCGGCTACCCCATGTTGGCTTACAGGCCAACAGCTCACGGTCATGCCTTCGTTGCAGCAGCCGTCAAGATGCAAACGCTCAGCGCACGGCGGCGGGGCCTCTTCTTCAATGGGCCCCATCCAAAAGGACCTCAAGACATGTGCGAAACTGAACACACAGAATATAAATTGCTATGCCATGTCTCGAAACACTGACCACAGCTGTCCCGTCGAATGGAGTGGGAACGCGATCAAACATGATTGTAGACATCTGAAGAATAAGTAGCCTGCAAGACCCCAAAAGCAACTTCCAATCAGCCAGCCTGGACAGCTCCCCATCCTCTCTGGTGGGGTTGCTGGTTCCGAAGACTCGCCTGCCAGGCTCTTCGTTCATGAGTGAAAATCAGGTCTTGGATTGACGTGGGTGCCAGTTTGAACATCAATGCAACAGCCTGACCCCTCCTTTCTGGCCTGGTGAGTTTGGCGAGCGAAAAGCCGCCCGTCTCGAGCCTCGCGTCTGCACAAAAAGGGGGCCCTCCAGGAATGGGCGAAGGCTTTCGACAAGGAGCGGGTCACTCAACAAACAACGACTGGTTGTCCCCAGGCTCGATCCGAGTATTCGAGGGTCACATTACCCAAATCTCTCCCTCTCTCTCTCTCTCTCTCTCTCTCCCACACGCACACAACACCTATTATATATATATATATATATAGAACTTCATGCATGATGGGTCACATGTGCGATAGGGCACGCTGAAAAAAGCTTCACCATCAAAACGGTCAATGGTCCACATTAGTTGAGTGGGTTTAATTGTGCTCTAGGGTTGGTTTAGGGCGGGTGTAGGTTGAAAAGGCGGGCTTTGGATTCTTTAAGGGTCATCACAAAGCCGAATAACGGCCGCATAAAGAAGCGCGGATGTTGGATGGGGGGGGCCCCCATAAGAACACAAAGCAAGATACTAATGGAGAAAACGTGCGATTACAAACAAGTGCTGCATGTGATGTTGGGGGGGCGCTGGTGGCGATGCGAAGAAGAACACAACTAAACACAAAAGAACAAAAGCACATCTTAATAACATGGCCCTCCTTAGCCGAGGCCCACGCACACCAAACATATATAACCACAGCAGGGGGCCGCCAGAAAGCAAGAGGGGCTTGCGGAAAGGAAACCAACGGTGCAAGGTCCTGAGTCGCTTTTGTTTCCCCACTGCTTCAACCCCTAACAAGGGGTTCCCTCGAAAGCTTGCATGCCACACGCCTTACGGGGTAACCAACACCCCCAAATGTCTCAGTCTTTTTTTGGGTTCCCCATACCAAACCCCACAAAACCGCCCACCCCTGGCCATCCATTCGCTGCACGCCAAACTCCTGAGGGCCCCGGCCAGTGCAGCTCCTCGGCGGAGAATTCCTCACCGGAGAGGAGCTGCTGGACGACCCGGTCCTCCGACATGCCGATGAGCTCCAACCTGGCGAAGGCATGGGCCGGTGGGCCCATCATCTTCCTTGGGATTTAGGTGGGAAGCAGCCATTGCTGGGAAGACAGGTTCAAACGACGCTGAGAGGCCAGGCAAGACAGTAGTCTGTCTGGGGTGTTGTTGGCATTTCAGGCTCAGGGTGAGTAGCAATACGTGCCGCTTTGGCTGGGTCAATTTTGGGATGGAGATTTGCAAGGTTTCCCACACCAGCTTGTTGCACTTCAAAGTAACATCAATGAATAATTAATGTTGCAATTTTCATTCATCCTGCCGGAAGTGCAGAACAACTACAATATCACCCCAAAAAGATGTCGTGTAAACCTTGCCCCTGCAATCTCAGCTTTAAATGATCGCATCTTCTGTGGTGCCCTGTATGCTGCTAGTTTACTGCATGCTCACCGCCTCTGCAACTCCGTCTGGGAGAAGCAGCTCTCTCCATGGACTCGCCTTGGAAGGCTTCAATCTTGGGATATGGCTATGAATTTGAATCAGGGACCCTTTGGTGGACATCATATAGCTGGGGATTCATGTCCACCAATCACCTTTGAGGTGGTTCCCGCTTAAAAATCATAGCCACATCTTGTGGCTTCGACTTCTGCAAGTTTGTCACGGAATTTAACAAACCTTTGGCAGGCAACCTGTGAGGGGGCAAAAACCGGAGAGACCCCTGCCCTCTCGACTTTCGCACCATCTGTTCCGTCATGTTCCATCGTAACTCCAAATCCCTCGCCGCATTGCACAAGGCGAACATGTGCCTGTGAAGGTCCTCCACGTCGAAACCAGCGCTCTCCAAACTGGCACGCAAAAAACGGGCAATGCGCACGGGCATGAAATGCCCCTTACAACACAGCATCTGTTGATGGAACGGTGCTCATGGACAACACTGAAACACACTACGTCACTACGTACCATGACTCTTGCCTTTAGCCCCCTCAGAATTCTAGTTGCGTCAGCTTGGGGGCTCATCAATTCAGCCAAATCGGAGGTGCAATACCATCGCCTTACGCACCGGTATTTAAGCCTGGAGTAATCACCCAACATGCTGTAACATGGATGGCCAAAGCATATCATATCTCCATATTACTTCTTACTCGATCCGGCGCAAGGGGTGCAACACAAACTGACATGGCGCGCAAAGGCGCTGCAAAGGTATTGTATGTATTATGCATCATTATGCCATCAGTGATAAGGTGATGAGTTTGTCCAATGCGAGGTTGCTGCTGTAGTCCGTGTGCGTCGCGTTGCTTGGCGTTGCGGTGCATGCGCTGTAGGCGCTGCCACATTCACTTTTTACTTTCCGTTCACATTCCGCCGGCACGACGGGACAGGCGAGCTACAGGGGGACATGGAAAAAACAACAACACAACTATGGCAGCACAAAGATCAGAACATCTCTAATGAGGTGGCCATGTGTTTTTGCCGCGGCATATCCTGGCTCGCACCTAATATGGAAAACGGTTTGGACGTGGCTTGTTTGGATCCACCGCTGCGGGATATTGAAAGAGTACTAAAAGACTAAAAGATGACTAAAAAGGGACCAACATGGGGAAGAACAGGTGAAATCCCCCAAAAGCGACTCTCTATGTAACATAGCTTGGCCCGGAACAACAGCGCCGGACACCCAACGCAAAGCATTTGTTGAGCTGAAGGTACGCGTACTTCTAATATGATGCGTGCTTCCAGTGCGCCCTTTCACAGTCCCGCAGAATAGTATTGCAACACCAGGAACGTGAAGTTTGCTGTCTACACTACGACAACGTTGCGATCTTCAATCAGGAGAGAGGAAAGTAACGTTGCGAAAGACAATTGCACAGTACAGTTGCACAGTGCAGTTGATTCAGTTCCACAGTACAGTGTATGCTATGACGTATCAAGATGTGATTGCCTTGCTATACCCCAGGGGTGTGATTCTGGCAACGCGCCTGAACATCTCATCGTGCGAGAACTTCTCGCGGTCCGCAAGGCGCCTCAGCGAATTCGCTGTGAGGGTCCCGAATGACCACAGGAAACGTCCCCTCCACAGTCTGACCACAATTGACAGAACTTTGACCGGCCATATTTTTGACGGCTCCTCGTCGAGCTGACCCCAAAGTTGACCCAGAACTGCTCTCCTTCTTACAAGAGCAGCCGTCAAGGCCGGGGCTGCTGGATGTCTGCCTCCTCCAGCCCAACCACTTCCAGCCTGTGGCAAAGCGCAAGCGCAGACGCGCACCAGCCAGAGGTGACAACCGTTGAGGGCACACTTGAGCAAGTTACCCAATGAGCCCGGCGCTTCCCGCGCAGCCATGTTTAAGCTTTTTGCCTGCGCTTGAACTAATCGACGCTAGGGGAAGCATGTCCTCCACCTTGAAAGCGCGCGGTGAAACTCACGCTGCCCAACCGTTGCCGGGAATCCGACGTCAGGCTGCGAACCTAGCGCCTTGCATACACGCAGCAAAGCAACATCAGAGCGGCCCCAGTGAAGATGCCAGGCCAAAAACCATCCTGCTGAGTTTGCCGGTAGGCGTAGCGCCGGGTCTCCTTGCGTCTCACACTCTCTCTCTCTCTCTCTCTCTTTCTCTCTCTCTCTCTCTCTCTCTCTCTCTCTCTCTCCCTCCCTCCTCTCTCTCTCTCTCTCTCTCTCTTTCTCTCTCTCTCTCTCTCTCTCTCTCGCTCTAAAGATACTGCATTAGTCGTTGCATTGCTTTGATTGCCATGTTTCCTCTGGCCGACAGCAAACCGCCATGCCCCGACTCTTGCAGCGGCCTTTGTGTTGTGCCAAAGTGCAACCGCCCTCCTCCAGGGTGACTTCGCCATCCCCGTTCTCGTCCATATCCTCCCACAGAGTCTTGGGCTTGGCCGTCGCCTGAAATCAAAGGCGGACTTGAAACTGTGACACATATCGCAAACTCATAGGTATGGTGCTAGCTTCAAAGGAATTCGCCACTCAGGTATGTGTTAGCTGTTGAGCAGGAGGGCAAAGCCTGTTCAAACCCGTCGGCTGAATGGAAAGCAGGTTTGACGAAATGATTGCAAACTTGCAATCGCCAGAAGCAGGTCACCACAAGGCACAGCAGAACTGACTTTGCATTGCAGTCAATTAACATCAAATGCCCCCCTCGGTTTCTTTCTCTGGTTTTGCCGTTTTCTTGAGAATTCAAGACAGCTAACCAAGCGATCGAACGCCTTTGTGGCAATCCTTGCAGCCACATTTTCACCTTTACCCTTTCCGTCCAGCCCTGCAAAGCAAGGAAACAAAGTGAACTTGCTGGAAACTATATACTCTCTCATCAATTGACATGTAACCTGACGTTTGGGGGATCCTGAAAGACAATTTTCCATTTAAAGGACCCTCTGCTGGGTTCCCTTTTACCTGGTGGGAGGGTACACATATACATATATGTATATGTAAATATTCTGGATACCTTGCACTTACGGCATCGGCTCTCGGCTTCTCTGCTGCTGGGTCTCCTTCTCACCTGCCTTCTCCGCTTCCATGGCGCCACTCCGCTGTGCAATCAGCAGGGCGCTCTGAGCCCTCTCGGGCTGCCGCACACGGAGTTCGTCAACTCGTTCCTCATGTTTTTTGGATGCTCGGGTACATTGGGAGTACTGCGCCCTAGATTAGTTGTTGGATGCTACGACTCTGTCAGCGTTGGAAATATAACTGGATTGGCATTGAACACTTCAACGAAATATAGCCAACCATGCCACAAGTTGGAAGAAAGCATGCAGCCTCCTAAGAGTTGACGCTAGAAAACACGTCATATCCACCCACACCTCCTGAAACTGCAAATCTCGTGGCCCAGTGCTGCGATGTTCAATGGGTTTCGCCTCAGCCACGCCTCAGTCGCTCTTCCGTGGAGAAGAGCTCATCTTGGAGGATGCGCCTGGAGACATGGGGCCCGACTCATCTGTTAGCTCTTGGCATCTCTTCGCTTGCTCTTGGAGAAGTAGGCGCAGCTTAGGCATCCCAGGCAGTTCAGGGGCTTAAGGCTTGGATGGCTTGAGGGCTCATTCCAAGGCTGTCTTGTCACCTCATCAGGCAAAACAGCCACACACACACATCCTAAACGACACGTAAACAAACAGCGAACCTAGCCTCACCGTCGCCCTCAATCCAACCAAGCCAAGTCAGCCCAGCCCAGCCCAGCCCCAGCAACGAAAGAATTCAAACAAAGCGTTCCAGATCCTCACGGCTCACAGGCTGATGCCTGCGCAGCTCGTAGAGGGGCATGTCCACGCTATCCAGCCTGGCGCCATACCCACAGCTGCCACAGCTACCAAGTTCTGAAACCATCTTCTTTTTTCCTGAATTTGTGCTGAAGGCTTGTTGAAGTGGCGGCGGCCATCGTCGGGATTAAGTGTTCCTCCAGTCTCCCACGCCCGCCGATGCGAATACCAGCACGATGCCTTGCCAGCTCATCTTCGTCGAAGTCCTCTCCCATGATCAGGCGCCTCTTCACATTGGAAGTTTGAATATGGCGGCATCTGCTTCACTGCCGTCCAGTTGATAAAACAAACAACTTGTTTAAAAAGACAATGGACGCTACAGTCCTGATTTAAACAAACAAGCCAATGAAAGTGCACTTTCCCCAAACGCGGTTCAAAGGCCTGACCTGAATGGGTTTCAATCCGGCTCAATGTCTGGCTGTACCAATGCACGTGTTGCCGACACGCCACCCATGCAGTGGGCAGACGCAAACCGTCTCTGCCTTTTGAGGAAAGCCGGAAGGGCCTGCGAACCTCCGACTCTGGGAGGTCCACGTCTGCGAGCCTGGCCAAGCGCGTAATGGCCGACGGGACGGTCATTCGTCTCGCACTGCGAACGAGGATCCTAACATCTGCTGCAACAGGACTCGTGTTTTCGACGGATTTTGAAGCATAGGGAGTTGCTACTGTGACCATTTGCAACCTCGTAAACATTCGCAAAGAGCTTGATCCAAAACGATAAAATCCACTCATCGGTCAACTTGCGCGTCCTGCCTTTCCTTCTCACTCTTGGAGAATTTCCCAGTGCCAGCCAGCAGCCTGGGATTTCGCGCGATTTTGTTTTGGGGGGCACCTCTAATCGGGTCGAGTGAAATCCTCGCTACGGATACATCGCCGGGAGCCAGGAGAAACCGTCTGAATCCGTCTGCGTCCCTTCCAGCCGAGCAGCTTCCGGACCCGCTCCAAGGGCAGGCCCTCCGTCCTCAGCCTAGCGAATGCGGCGCTCAGCTTGGTCAAGGCAAGGGTTCGACAACCACCGTGTAGCAATGCAGCACCACCAAGCTTTGTGCTTAAGCTAGCTTAAGGAAGGGATGGGCCGGAAGAGTCTATTCCTTCGCAGGTTGAAGAAGCATCGATAATGTTTGTGAGCCTAAACGCATCGCCCATCTGCCTGGCTTGCTCTTCCTTGGTGAAGACATCGCCTAAGAGTAGGCGCCTGGCCGTTCCAGGGAGGGAAGAGGGCCAATTTAGGATGGGATTAGGTTCGGGAAGGGCCTGATCAGGGCCAAATGTCCTAGATGGCAGTTTGTGCAATCAGGGTATGATAGCTGAACATGGCCTGAGCCCAGTTCCAGTAATGCAACACCATTGCCATTTGAAGAATTCACGCCAAGCTCGTGTTCCACCTGGGCGACCAAGTGCTACTGCAACACGCAAACGTGCCAAAGCAAGCTACGAGTACTCGCGGACACGGCCACACCAGCGGACAAGTCTTGTGAGAGCGGGAGGTCAAGGCCAAGCCACCAGCTGACATGCTCGGCCTCTGGAGCGCCTCTGCTTTGAAGCCCGCTTGCTCAAGCCTGCGCAAGTGCGGACTGCGGACAGCACTTGCCAAAACGGTGTCAAGGAACCCTATCAACATTTGAGAGGTCGCTCCAGCATCTGCTTGCCAGACCTTTGGAGTAATATCCCACCTAGAAGTCCAACTTGGCGCCTGCTTGGAAATGAGGTGTTGCAAAACGCTGCCTGGCCTGCTCACCTCATCTTCGGAGAGGCCATAGCCTAGCAGCCCAAGCCTGGCAAAACACCCTGCTGCACGCAAACAAACACGGGATTCATCCATTTCCCCCATGTGCCTGCCAGGTATTCCCGGGCTAGCTTCCAATGAGAGCAAAGTGCTCCCGACCCGAATAGCTCGAATGTGCGCCTCCTATCAAACAGTGTGTTGAGTTCGGACAAACATAAAGCTGCCAAACGGCGACTATCCATCATCCAACTGCAAAAGATCTGTGTACGATTTGCGATTGAAGAGCGAGCTAGCTAATCAACGCGTCACTGACCAGTCATCTTCGCGGATAAGTTAGCTGTCTATTTGTCCAACTAGATCTACGTGTTAATTCTCCATTTGATTTCCAATGTCTGCGGCGGATTCCTTCGAGACAACCCTGGGGCACAAACAGCCAGTGGCCGCCAAAGCACTTCAACGATGTTTCTCTGACCCCCCATGTCTGAAGGCAGAAGCCAGGACGTGTTCATCAGTGCTCCAAGACTTGGGGTAGCCGCTTTGAACAGTGAGTCAAGCCACGATTGTCCAATCTCTCCACTTCGGAATGACACTCGGTCGATGGCTCCAGGCCAGCCATCATATTATGTCAAACCCAAAAGCAGTTCGCGCCTGCGAAGGTCGTGGTCGGTAAAGCCAGCTTCTCGAAGCCTGGCATCAAACCATTTGTATAGCAACAGTTTGACCATTGAAGTTGCCTCAATCTCATGGAAAACAAAGAACGCAATTTGATTAATATCATGTATTTTACATCATGATATCCATGTATTGTCATACAAAACAAGTTTTAAACACATTATACAATACATTGTCAACATGACGTGTAGCCGTGCCCAAGTTATGGGCCGGAAACGTTTGTGATGCTGAGGGGAGCTGGCGGCATGGGCCGAGACCAATATTAATTCAATCAATCAACACCTGGCAGGGCAGGACGTCGCCAATCGTGAATGGATCCCGTCTTGCCAAGACCACGGCCGCGAACAACAGAACATCATTTCCTACAAACCCAACACATCGCCCATTCAAGGGCAGCCGAACCAGGGGCTCCAAAACGACACGACCTATCATAAGCCAATACCAGCTCATTCACTGACACCAAAGTTCCAACAATACGATTGGTTTCTGCACCGCAATCGACTGCATGCTTGGAATGTTCAATATTTGAACGATGCTCGCTCCTGCAAGTGGGGCGAGCCTAAGACGGCGACATGTTGGTCTCCCTCCACCACTCAGCACAAAGGATGGGCCAACGTTTCCATCTGCGATGGTGATGGAATCCTTGCTGGCCAAATCAACCACCAATTTGAACAGCCAAAAAACACTTCATCAGCTGTTGCAAGGGCTTACCTTTGGGAACCCTGAAAATTCAACAAAAGCAGTCAATGAGGCCATCTTCACGCACTCGGCACTTTCACCAAATGACCGTCGTGCCAACACACATTATCTTGAACTGGACACAGACGTGAAGTTGAGCCAAACAAGAAACAAACAATTCATGTCTGGCTCACACAGTCAGGCAACGCACCCAAAGGTGACAGAAAGATCCAGCATGACAGCCGTTAGGATAGACACAGAAAGGCTGAAGTATGGAAGCCACGCATGCGCACGCACATAACAACACATATGACATGCTGCAAAGCGGCGGTGTTCCAAATGACACATGAAGAACACACAGAAGCGTCATCATTATCCTGCTAAGTGGCCAGGCATGCCCGTAGCATGCGATGAGCCAAGCTACTTTCCAAAGGCGGCCCATGGAAGTGCATTCACGCACACACACACACACAAACACACACGCACACACACACACATGTACTTGACAGGATTTCACACCTGAGTCACAATCAACACCTGATATCAACGTGGTCTACCCAAAACCATGTAGAGAGTCAAAAGCGCGGTCGCATCCATTTATGGCCGGCACTGCTCGTTGCTATCCGAAATCCAACTAAATCCACCGACCCTCAAGACAGCTACCAAAAAGAGCACTGTGGGCACCAACTAATGGGCAAAGAGTCGGCCAACAAAGTATCACTATACTGACCATACCAACATGCGCGCCGCCCAGATCACCGCTCCTACTTGCAGAAGTGCAATGAAGAAACCGTTACAATGGTATCAGCGAACAATGAATTGCCACATGCACTGGCTAACCCGAATTTGCAGGATCAGCAGTAGTAGCTGCCAAGAAAGAAGCAGCAGCAACAACTAACAACTTACACCATTTACCACCTTCTGCTAAAGCCGCTAAACCTGCTACACCTGCTGCTTATCTTCTTTGACTAGAATGCCACCACAAACATATCACATTTTCACCTGTGGACTCTCTGGCGAAGCAACTCACGACAACTCACTGGACGCCAGCCCTGCTTCACGTTTTGATATTTGGGAAGTTGCCACCTCGGCTGTCCAAACAACACACCAAACCCTGCGCAGCATCCCTGAGCCTCTTGAGGTCCTGCCCCTGCAAGCCCTTGCCGCTGTATGCTTTCCTGGATGGGTGCCGGCGTGGGCATTTTAACGAGCTTGCTTCAGTCCGGGACTATTTGGGTTAATTTTGCAGTGTTGGGTGGGTGCGCAAACGGTGGTAGATGGGAAGGAATGTTCTGAACTACTAATTATCGCGAGCCGATTTGGGTAAGAATTATACGTCAATTTTCAATGGTCAGAGCAATCAGGCGCATTCAGGTGTCAAGGGCATGAACGAAGGTAAAAAAACAAAACGGGCGCTGAGCACGGTCTATTTTTTATTTCTTTAACAAGACTCCACGCACTGTTCATACGATTGTTTTTTAGCAGTCAGCACAGACGGTTTCATTTGTTCGGGTAGACTCAGTCTCCTCGCAAAGTACATATGGTTGAACGTTCAGCGCATCAGCGCACCGATTTCTTTTCTTTGGTAGACGGGCGCAAAACGTGAAAGAAGCTAGCGCGAGAGCGCGCAGAGAACTTGCGCAGATAATTTTGAGCCGAGCACTTGCGCAGAGAAAACTTGTGCAGAGAAATTTGCGCAGAGAGAGAAACTTGCTCAGACACATTTGCTCAGAGAAAGTTGCTCAGAAACTTGCGCAGAGAAGCTTGCTGAGCGAACTTTGCTTTCGCCCCCCCGTTCTTCTAGCGTATGTTTGGTTGGGGGGTTCCCCTATCTTGTTACGATCCCATATGCGTGTGTATATATGCACATATATACATATCCCAGGCGATCCCAGGCAACCCCCCACGTTAGTGTTTCTTCGCCATGTTGCTTTTTCTAAAAGGGTGGTTTCTTTGGTTGCCTACACAAAGAAATGTAATCACTGAGTACAAAATGAGGCGTCAAATCATTGCTCGCAAGGGCCTTTTGTGACTCAATTTTACTTGAATTGTCCACACAAGCAACGCCCCGCCTCAGTCTCATGCCATGCTTAAATTTAGACAGCGAGGATGGAGTTGAACTGCGGGTAGGTTCGGAGTGTTTGAAACTTCTTTTGGTGTCGTCTGTAATAACGGAATATGGTGAGTTGGTGGTGAACACTGGCGAGAAGTTGGTGACGCTTGAGAAGTAAGCAGGTGAGAGTGTTGTGAAAATGTGGGGCTGTTGTGAAAGGAGCGCAGAGTAACAGTTTGAAAGCGGTGAGAAGATTGAGAGTCAGAAGATGGTGGGCTGGTGAAAAGTTTGCAAGTTTGTGAAACGTGTGCAAGTTGAGGAAAAAACGGGAGTCTGTGAACGTCTGCCAAATTTGCGAACAGACAACAGAAAAGATGGCGAGTTGGTGAACCTTTTGGTAAGTGGTGAAAAGATGGCGAAAAGATGACTTTGTAGAACAAAATTGGTGACAAGAAGGTGAAAAGACGGTGGGTTGCAAAAAAATGCACGTTGGTGAAAAGATGGTGAGCTGGTGGAAATCTGGCAAGTTGGTGAGACGCTTGTGAAAAGATGGCGAGTTTGTGAAATTTGGCAAGTTTGCGAAGAGATGGTGAAACGATTGTGAGTTGGTGAACAATTTGCAAGTTGGTAAAAGAAGGTGAAATGCCGAAAAGTGAGCAAGTTGGTGGACAGATTGTGAGCTGGTGAATATTTGGCAAGTTGGTGAAAAGATGGTGAACAGATCGCAAACTGTTGCAAATTTGACAAGCTTGCAACATGTTGGCGAAAGCGAAAATTTGGCCAGTTGGTTAAAAGATGTGAAAAGATGGTAAACAGGTCGCGAGTTGGTGAAAAGATGGTAAGAAGATGGTGAACTGCCGAAATGTTGGCAAAAGTTGGTGAGTTGGTGAAAAGATGGTGAACAGATGGTGAACTGCCGAAAATTTCGCAAGTCAGTGAACAAAGTTGGCAAACACATTGTGAGTTGGTGACAAGATTGTGAACAGATGGTGAACAGATGGTGAGCTACCGAAAAATTGGCAAGTTGGTCCAATTTGGTGAATGTGCGAAAAATTGGCAAGTCGGTGAAAAGATTGTGAAAAGATGGTGGGTTGGTGAAAAGTTGGTGAAAAGATGGTGAGCTGCTGAAAATTTAGCTAGGTGGTAAAAAGTTTGTGAATTTGCGAAAAATTGAACAGTTGGTGAAAAGATTGTGAAAAGATGGTGACAAGGTGGAACACTTCTGGGCACAGCTGGAACACTTCCAGAACACTTCTTTGGAGGACTGGAACACTTGTGGAACACTTCCAAGAGGTCAGGAATTTCACCATCTTTTCACCAACTTGCCAAATTTTTGGCAGTTCACCATTTGTTCACCATCTTTTCACCAACAAAGTCTGCAAATTGCTCAAAAGATGTTGAACAGATTCTGAACTGACGGCAAGTTTGCAAGTTGGTGAAAGGTGGCAATAAGATTGTGAACAGATTGAGTTGGTAAGTGTTTGGCAAGTTTGGAAAATGTTGGCAAATGTGCGATTTGTTGCAAGCTGGTGAAACACGTGAAACAATGGTGAACTGACAAACAAACATGAACGTTTGTGAAAATATAGCAAACTGCTGGACATTTGACAAGTTCGCAAAATGTTGGCGAACTTGCGAACATTTGGCTAGTTGGCGAGCAAATGGTGGACAGATTGTGAGTTGGTAAAAAGATTGTGGAAAGATGGTGAACTGCCGAAATGTTGGCAAGTCGGTAAAAAGTTGGCGAATCGGCGCTTTTGTTTGCAAGTTTGTAAAAGAGGGTGAGTTGGTAAAATGATGGTGAATAGATGGTGGGTTGGTGAAAAGATTGTGAAAAGATGGTGAACTGCCGAAAATTTGGCGAATTGGCTCATTGTTCGCAAAATCTGTTCACACACTGTACAAACCGCTAGGGGAAAACTGTAGTCAGGCCCAACGTATCCCAACTACAGTTTTACCTTCATGATTTAGGCGGTGTGTTGCTGGGGATGCTGGGGCCTGCTGGGGGTTTTGCCGGTGATGCTGGGTGTTGCTGGCGCCGCTGGCCTTAAAAACGCGAGGGAAAAACTGTAGTCAGGCCCAACGTGCCCCGACTACAGTTGTTCCATCATTTTTTGAGCGGTGTGTTGCTGGGATTGCTGGGGGTGTTGCTGGTGATGCTGGGGACGCTGGCCTTAAAACGCTTGGGAAACGGTTGGGAAAAAACTGTAGTCAGGCCCAACGTGCCCCGACTACAGTTTTTCCATCGTTTTGTTTTTTGGTGGTGTGTTGCTGGGGATGCTGGGGGTGTTGCTGGTGATGCTGGGGACGCTGGCCTTAGAAACGCTTGGGAAACGGTTGGGAAAAAACTGTAGTCAGGCCCAACGTGCCCCGACTACAGTTTTTCCCTCGTTTTTTTTGGCGGTGTGTTGCTGGGGATGCTGGGGTTTGTTACTTTTGCTTGTTGTGTGTGTGTGGCTGTCACTGGCCTGCTTGGTCGGGTTGCTGCTTTTCGTGAAGTGGGATTTTCCCAATAGGTTTCTAGTTTGGTTGTTGTGTGTGCCTGCCTTGTTTTCTCTGCGCAGCAGGGCTTTTCACTGGCCTGCTTGGTCGGCCTGGCGCTTTTCGTGAAATGGTTCTCTTTTAGTAGAGCTTCTAATTTGTTTGCTGTCTGTGGCTGCCATTTTTTTGTGAAGCTGGACCCCTTTCAGGGCCTGTAGTTGGCCTGCTTGGTCGGCCTGCTGCTTTTGGTGAAGTGGGACTTTTTTGGAGGGCTTCATCACAATACAGCTGATGCGCCTCGTACTAGTAGCAATGCCCTTTTGCTTGAAAAGCACATATGGCTCGCTATCTAAACTGGCAAACCCCAATGAAAAACGACTGAAAAAGGTAAAAAACAGATTAAACCAAATACAAAACGATTAAACAAAAAAAACTAAACAAAGATAAAACAAAAAAGATACTATCTGTTAGTATCTTCCATATGTGTTAGTAGAGAATATGTGAAAACTTATTATCTTTTACTTTCCCGAGTAGCTACTCCTAAGTCTACTATAAGTCCGCCGGAACATAGCCAAACAAATCTAAGATAAACATAGGTTAACCACCTGATAAACAGACTTATGTCTGACATACTATCCTCTATTTCCAAGCTATCTGACTGCGAGCCTTCTTAGTACTGTCAACTTGGTACAATTCTATGCGACTTTTGCGCGGCGTATGTATTGTTCAATGATTGTTGCGTATAAAAACCGTTTTACGCATAACCTATGCATAACTTCTGCATAACTTCTGCATAACTTCTGCATAACTTCTGCATAGGAATTGCTTTATGCAGCCTATGTCACTGACAAAACAACTTCTGCATATATGCAGAAGTTGCCCTACTAAAATCAGTATTACTTCTGCATATATGCAGAAGTTATGCAGCCTATGTTTTTTTATGCAGAAGTTATGCAGAAGTTATGCAGAAGTTATGCAGAAGTTATGCAGAAGTTATGCATGTGTGCCCTCAGGTTTTGCATATTCCACACTTTATGCACACATAGTCACATAGTGTTATAAAAAAACAATTTTGGGTTTGAGGAGCTGCTTTTTGAGGCCGACACCTGATGACATCATCAAGACCGCACTGTCAGAGGACGCGGTCATGACACCCTACCAATGGAAAAATCCCACTTCAAGAAAAGCAGCAGGCCGAGCAAGCAGGCCAGTGACAAGCCCTGAAAAAACCAACTGCACAAAAAAAAACTGGCAGCCACACACACAACAAGCAAACTAGAAGCCCAATGGAAAAATGCTTTTCAAGAAAAGCAGCAGGCCGACCAAGCAGGCCAGTGACAGGCCCTGAAAAAACCCACCTTCACCAAAAAAAAGGCAGCTAGAGACAACAAGCAAACTAGAAGCCCAATGGAAAAAATCCTACTTCAAGAAAAGCAGCATGCCGACCAAGCAGGCCAGTGACAGGCCCTGAAACAAATGCACCTTCCCCCAAATAAATGGCAGCTATAGACAACAAGCAAATGGGAAGCTCTACTGAAGACATCCCACTTCATGAAAAGCAGCAGGCCGACCAACCAGGCCAGTGACAGGCCCTGAAAAAAACCCACCTTCACAAAAAAAAAGGCAGCTAGAGACAGCAAGCAAACTAGAAGCCCAATGGAAAAATCCCACTTCAAGAAAAGCAGCAGGCCGACCAAGCAGGCCAGTGACAGGCCCTGAAAAAAACCCACCTTCACCAAAAAAAATGGCAGCTAGAGACAACAAGCAAATGGGAAGCTCTACTGAAGAAATCCCACTCCGTGAAAAGCAGGCCAAGCAGGCCAGTGACCGGCCCTGAAACAAATCCGCCGTCACCAAAAAAAATGGCAGCCAGAGACAACAAGAAAATGGGCAGCTCTACTGAAGACATCCCACTCCATGAAAAGCAGCTGGCCGACCAAGCAGGCCAGTGACAGGCCCTGAAACAAATCCACCTTCCCCCAAATAAATGGCAGCTAGAGACAACAAGCAAATGGGAAGCTCTACTGAAGAAATCCCACTCCATGAAAAGCAGCAGGCCGACCAAGCAGGCCAGTGACAGGCCCTGAAAAACACCAACTGTGCAAAAACATGCATTTGATATTTTTCTTTTTGAACCCCCCAGGTAAAGAACCATCACTTTTGGGACTCGGGATTTTGATTTTTTGATTTGTTTGAACCCACCAAGTAAAGAAACATCACGTTTGGGGCTCGGGATTTTGAACTTTTTGACTCCCCAGGTAAAGAAACTTTTGGGACTCGGGATTTTGAACTGTTTGATTCTTTTGAGCTCCGCTCCCCAAGTAAAGAAACATCACGTTTGGGGCTCGGGATTTTGAACTTTTTGATTTGTTTGAACCCACCAAGTAAAGAAACATCACGTTTGGGACTCGGGATTTTGAACTTTTTGAACTTTTTGACTCCCCAGGTAAAGAAGCTTTTGGGACTCGGGATTTTGTACTTTTGATTTTTTTGAACTCCCCAAGTAAAGAAACATCACGTTTGGGGCTCGGGATTTTGAACTTTTTGAACTTTTTGAACTCCCCAAGTAAAGAAACATCACTGTGGGGGCCCGGGATTTTGAACTTTGTGAACTTTTTGAACTCCCCGAAACATCACTTTGGGGGCCCGGTGTTTTGAACTTTTTGAACTTTGTTGGTCTCCCCAACCAAGCCAGGGTTATCGACCTTTTTTTGTTTGTCCTTCAGTCCAGGAACTCAGATTCGAGGGGCTCTGGATGTTGACCTAATTTGTTTTTCCTAAATTCCCAAGTAAAGAAGCATGACTTGAGCGACCCAAGTTGGGTAACTGCCACCAACCCAAACTAAATGAAACAAGCGGCCCCTCCAACCAACCAACCCTAACTACATGAAACAAGCGGCCCCTCCAAACCAGCAACCGAAACTAATTACACACCGGCCCCCTCCAAACCACCTGAGACTAGAACCATCAACCCAAACTAAAGGGAAAAAGCGGCCCCTCCACACAACCAACCCCAACTAAATGAAGCAAGCGGCCCCTCCAAACATCAACCCAAACCAAATGGAAAAAGCGGAGCCCTCCAAACTACCAACCCAAACTAAATAAATCAATCAGTCCCTGCAAACCAGCAACCGAAACTAATGGAAAACCGGCCCCCTCCCAACCAACAACGAAAATTGAATAAAGCTAGAGCCATCAACCCACACTAAATTGAAAAAGCGGCCCGTCCACACAACCAACCCAAATTAAATGAAACAAGCGGCCTCTCCAAACCATCAACCCAAACCAAACGGAAAAAGCGGCCCCTCCACACAACGAACCCAAACTAAATGAAACAAACGGCCGCTCCAAACCAGCAACCCAAAGAAATGGAAAACCGCCCCCCCCGCACCCCCCCCCCAAACCATCAAATGGAAAAGCGGACCCCTCCAAACCACCGACGAAAATTACGTGAAATTAGTACAATCAACCCAAACTAGATGAAACAAGCGGCCCCTCCCAACCAGCAACCCAAACTAAATGGAAAAAGTGGCCCCCTCCAAACTACCAACCCAAACTAAATGAATCGAGCGGCCCCTCCAAACCAGCAACCGATAGACGGAGAACCGGCCCCCTCCAAACCGCCTACCCAAACTAAATGAACACCCTGAACCACAAACCCAAACTAAATGGAAAAAGCGGCCCGCTCCAAACCTCTTCTTTGCAAAGCCAGGTTTTCCCTCTTAATTTGTTTTACGTTTGGGCATTTTCAGATACTTATTTCACTGTAACAGGTACAAATATTATTGCGCCAGGATGATGCCATTGTTCGGATGATGATTCTATATGGCTATGACTTTTTAAAGGCATGTCACGCCCCACGCAGCGCGAATCTTGGTAAGGAGGTATGTAAGGGGGGGCTCTTGTTAGTCTGTCATGAGAGAAAAAGTGCTTGACACTTCCACAGTTCCAGCACGAAAGTCGCAACTATTGATTTATCCGGCCCCTTCCCTGCTAATTACCTGTTGCAACATGTCTTCTGCTGCAGGGCAAGCTCTTTGCAACTCTGTGCATGTGTTTATCTTGTAATCGTTGTTTAATCTGTTTTTAACTGTTTGTTTTTGTCCTTTTTATCTTGTTTATCTGTTTTTTTATGTTTTAACTTCTTTTTTTTTGTTATCTTTGGTTTTTTGCTGTATCTTTTTTCTTTAGTATCTTCCCATTAGAAGAAACAATAGATACCAAGTTCAGACTAAGTGTCCGGTATCTAATCTAGACTATCTACTTACTTTCTCTTATATCTGCACTATCTTGCCACGAGCCTTCCTAGTATTATGTGAATGTCGTGGTAGTGAAAGGAAGTGAACAGTGAACACATCAGGTGGATGACACTACTACATATGATGCACGATGCTTGGGTTTATGTTGTGCACTTGGCCTGCGTGAGAAAATGAAGGTCCGGCTGATGTCTGTATCGGCGGCTGCCATGACCACGAGCTGAGTTTGCACTATTCTGGCAAACCAGAGGTTAGTTTGTGTGAAACTAGGTTAGGTTGCCCTGTTTTGCCGGGGGAAGGGCTTGTCACACCTGGGTACGACATTAAAAACCCCATCCGTCACCCAAATCGGCTCGCGATAATTAGTATTCTGAACTGTCACAGTAAATGCTGTTCTTGCCGTGCTTAGCACGTAGTGGAGGCAAGATACATCGGAAACGCCACTGCAACCCTGCAATTCATCCTGTGCCCAATCCAAAAGCAATTGACCTCGCCAATTGTTGATTGGCTTCATGACGGTCATCGCTCCTTCCCTGGAGCCCACGTGGCTGCTCTAGATTCATCAGCACTGACCGCCTGGTCCCACAGCCCTTTGGACCTGCCCGCCTTTCAATTCCTTTCAATGGAAGTGCAGGATCCCTTCCTTTCGGCAGCACAGCTAGGCTAAACAACACCCAGCTGGCCGAGCTGAGTTGCACGCAATCGCACAATTGCTAGATGGTTCGGATGGCGAAACAATTGCCTCTGTTTGCTTCGACTTGCTCAGCCAGTGTTGCCTAAAGCATTCACCTCTATCCCATAGACGCGGACCCCTCGTCTGCACAGCCAAGCTCTCGAGCTCTTGCTAGAAAATGCCGACGCCAAAAAACCGTTCTCCTGTGGAGCACCTCCGGGGTGAGGAATATGCCTGCAAGCCTGCAGCCGGTTGCAGCAACTCCCACCTTTAAACTCTCTGTGCAAGCATCGCAGGAAAATGCAACGTCTGCCTTGTCAGATAAACCGAGCTACGATTCGCTCAGGCTCTCTACTGAGATAGCAGGTAATCCTTCCGGCTTTGCGGATGTATTTCTGAAAGGGCTTGTCGGGCTTGTCAGTTTTTTTCTTGCTCCCGCACCGCATTTTCTGCTGGATGCCATTGCATTTTGCAAATTGGGCATGGGTGCTGTCATTGTCAAGAGAATATTCTAACCCCTGGCAAAGAGCAAGTCATGCACGCGGTCAAACAAATCGCATACGCATGCCAAACATGTAGAGTATCTATTGCTCCGGTGTGTTCGGGGGTCATTTGCCAATCACTGCCCCACATGACTTGGCCATGATAGAACTATACGCATGCCATCATGTAGAGTATCCATTGCTCCGGTGTGTTCGGGGGGTCGTTTGCCAATCACTGCCCCACATGATTTAGCCATGATAGAACAAGCCTGGCCGCCATGTCACCCTTGGTCCATGAAGTCCCTGATTCGGAACAATCACCAATAGTCACCACTTGGCACGTTGAAACGATTCGCAAGCCACAACCCAACAAAAACATATACACTCACACATGGGAATAGCGCCCGCAATAAAGGCTAATTAAGGCCAACAACACACACACACACACAAATTCTGCTTGGGTGACGGGTCTGAGGACACGAGCTCCCGCCTGCGTGTGTCCTCCTCCGTGAAGCCGCCAAGGCCACGACTCGGGGGGGGGGGGGAAGGGACAATCCCTGCTATGTCTTTAGCTGATGGTGCCCATTGGGGTTGAACTGAAAGCACACCAAAAGGACACCAACCACTCCAGGGTCTTTCCATGAGACCTTTGCATGGACAGGTCTCTGAGTTCGGAGTTTCAAACAACAACTTGATGCATCTTGGCGGAACCTAGCTGCAGGACTCCGGCCCAAAGAGTGGCCCACAAGCTGGACATGCCTGCATGCGTTGCAAAGTCCGTTTAGCCCTAGCCCGGTCGTCATGCCCGAGCCACTATGCTCTCCGGCCAGCGCATTCGCGCCAGTTTGAGACCCCTGGCCACCATGCCAGTGCATCCGTGATCTGCAGTCGCTCCTCAAAGGCCAAGCTGCTAGACCAATGCCCTCGCCTTCCCTCGTGGCCAATGGGGGGGGAGTGACATCTGTTCGAGTCGTTAGGTTTCGGCATTCTCTCGGCATGTCAGTCCCTGTGGGTCTTTGTACGCTTCTGAACAGCCATGCGCCACAATCAATGTTTGCCATACTTTATTGAGGAACTATTCCGACTATTCCCAGCGTCTTCTTCGTTCGGTCTCAGCTTGGCTGCAACCCCTCAGGGCTGAACTATCTCGTTCAGCTGAGAGTTTCCATCCACCTCAAGACGCGCCCAAATGAAACTGAACATTTGCTGTCTAGCTCTTTAGACTCTGTTGCCCAAAGGACCCCGAAATAAAGGTTAACCCTTTGGGGCCATGACTAAATATGGACCAACATCGAATAACCAAAAGGTGTCCAAATTGAATTCTCAACCTTCTCGGACTGAGCTGCTGGCGTGTTTTAGCATCTGGAACCTCGAATCCTTGGAGATCCGCCCGGATTCCATGCTTTCTGCCAGCCGTCGGACTCGCTGATCCGGCCTCAAAACTGGCCATTCCAGTGCATCGCGTCAGACCCTTCATTATAGCCTTGGGCTTTTGGGGCCCTCGCAGCCAATTGTCTCACATCAGGCCAATGACATGCCAAACAAGGCTCAGCCACTTTTGCCGGGGCCCTAGGGAGAGGGCAGGGCTTTGGTGCATTTCTCGCCGCTTACAGCAATCAATTTTGATGTCCTAGTGGCCAGAGCGCATTCGGCAAATGCAATATTCACGGAATCAGCTGCAGGAAGTTAAGTCCAACACCCACCAACAACTATGGCATTTGCCAATGCTCCGCAAAAACACAGATGGAAGCTGGATTCAGAGAATGCTTCGGGCATCGCGAATTTGAAAGGGAAGCGCCTCTTGGTGGCGGAACGGGGGGGCAGTACCAATCATGATCCTTGCAAAACCGATACTTGAAACCACCAGGACACGGCTTGTGAGGGCACAGCATGAGCGGATGTCTTTCAAAAGTCTCACAACCCCAGAACTGTCTGGTGGGGAACCACGCGTTTCTTCCGTTTTAGCGAAACTTAAGTCTGGTTGCAATTTTCGCACCCAGCCCACTTAGACCCTGGCCCCTTCATCGGGTAGGACTCATCTCTGTTGCCACTCATGGCGGCCTCCATTTCCTGCCTGGCGTGGGCGAAAGCTACTCGGACCCAACATAACAGGGAACGGCCTGCTGCACGCACGGCTGAAACCCGCTGTTGAGAAGACGCCAGGTTGGAATGAAGGCTAGAAAACGTGTCCGCGGGGGCTAGAAACAGCCCTGGCCGATTGCAAAGAGATGACAGCTAGCCCGGAAGGGCCAAAGAAGCAAGCCTTCCGCGCAACACTCACAGGTCGTGGCAAAAGAACCCTGCCACAAAGCAAAACATGCTCACGACCTGCCTTGTTGCATTGGCGGAGAACACTGCCTTCCAGTTCCCATCCCTGGGCGGGAGCTTTGGTAAGCGAGTGTAGCAGGCGTGTTTGTCACCGTTTACCACGTAGTTTTGGCATACTCTCGTACAATCACCCACTGGCTCCCTCACGCATAACACTTGCTGCTTACAACGTCTCAGCTTCTTCTCTTCATTCCGCTCCTAGGAGCCCGACTCATCCTGCTCAATGCTCGACACGATAACATCCTCGCGGCATGGACGGGCATTATGATGTTAAGGCGTTTCGTTGAGCTGCAGGCCCAGAATGCTTATGAGTACTCCTTCCAGGAACGTTTCATGAGTACACAGCAAGTTCCCAGGCGCAAGGTCCTCTGTCTGCACGCCCATTGCCTTGGCAGCTACGTTCCGAATTCGTTGAGGTTGCGGGTGAATTCCCGGTACACCCTCAGGGTTCATGTGAGCAAGACGCTGTGAACTTTTAGGAAGCGCTGCCATGCCCTCAAGAAAACAGAGTCAACTATGTACACATACTCCCATTCGATGAAAAACAAGAGCAAGTGGCTCCGCGCCCTCCCCCAGAGTACATGCAAAGCAGACCGATACCGAACCTCATTTCTTCAGGCAATGCCTGCAAAAGTTAAACGTTTGGCCACCTAAACTCAAAATCAACTGGGCACAACATCAAATGTTCAGCATCCCTTGAGAGGCTAACACGGGCGAATCCCAACCATCCATCCCAACGAGATGGCTGCTATGAGTGCGCATGTCGAACATTGTTCTAAAGAAGTGAGCTGGCTCAAAGCACAGTACCAGACTGCAAGATGCCTAAGCAACAAGCCAGTTTCGGACAAATGCTTCAATGTGCTTGCTAGGGTCGGGGGTTGGCTTCCCCCGTGGCATTCACCAAAATGCCCACATTGTCGCATGCGCGCACGTGCTCAGCGTGCTGCCAGGGCCAGTTCCGCCGCCAACGCATCCTGGAAATGTAGCAGGGTCACCGCCGGCCAAAAAAGACAGGATCGCGGAGGACTGCAAATGACGCTCAAGTGGAAGTTCTTCAACATGCTGCTACTTCAACTGCTTGTTTTGTCAGCCCATCCACGACCTAATTAACACATTGCCGTTTATGTCTACCGGCTTCTTCATTTTCCTTCCACACCAATGTTCTATCAATTTCTGTCAGCTTGTCTGATCAAGATTGATCAAGTCTATCATTCTGCAACCTGACAAAACGTTCCTCCTCCCGAAACCAATCTGAATTCCGGGGTGCAAACGACAGGGGATCATCTGTCCGCGCTGGAAATCCAGGCCTGGACCTTGGCGATGTACCGCTGATGCTTGGCCACATCCACAGCTGGGAACTCCACCTCTTCAGGATTCCTTGCCGGATAGCCAGGTGTGGCAGATATCAGACGCTGATTGGCTTCTAACCCCGGGCATGTGTCCAGAATTGACGTCAAAGAGAGCCAGGGGCAGCTCTGAGGCCCGGGCTGTGCCCAGCTCACCGTGGTGGAGGAGTGCTGCACCTGAGTTGGTGGCCCTGACCCACAACTGTGCCGGGCGGACTCGGGCCAAGAAGCTCAGGGCGTTCGGTCTGGTTGCCGCTGCTGGTGTGAGCCAGTGTGCTATCAGAATCAGGGGCTGAGGTGGCGACGCTCCGGGCACCTGGCAAAACACACGCATACAACTTCGGATTTTGAGGGAATGAGGTAGCCTCGGTAGCCACACCACAAAGCATGTTGTGTTGTAAGCCGCAACACCATCAACCGGTCTCAAATCAAAGAACCTGCTGCATGGAAACGCCCCGCTAGGTCACGGCCAGGCCTCCTGCTTTTGAAGCACTGCGACCCAGTACCTGCTCAACACTTGCTCAACCCCAACTTGGACGAAAAAGCTGATTGCTGTCTTCCAGTAGGCTTTGTGTAGTCTTCGCGTAGTCTGTTCTCTGGATGTTCAGACTTATCCCTACTGCACGACGCGTGGGCCAGAGTCAGAGGATTGCTGGCAAGCTTTGATAATCCCAGTTTTGTCGGTTTCTTGTTGGTTTCTTGTTGGTTCTATGATCAGTCAAGTTGTGTATTTGTTGTTTTGAAAAGTCCTTGATGTCTAGCTTGCTCGACTTGGCCTGCCGCAGCTTGGCAAACAAATCTATTCAGCTTCATATTCACCGCAATGGGACCATGGTAGCGTTTTAGATAGGAATAAACCACACAAAACTATACAGGAGTAAAACAACCTCCTATCATCGCTCCATTTGAGTCTAGTTATTAATATACTTTAAAGACTTATTGTATCTAATATTAATTAATTCATTCTTGTTTACAGGTTTATGCATATCCAGCAAAGGTTAGAACGGCCCAGCCGACACCTGTCAGGCTTCAAACAACTCATGAACACTTGCAAGTCAGCCCACCCCTTCTTTGAGTCACGCCTTTGAGGGTGATCGGCGCATTGGAGAGTCATCTCCTAGCCACGTTCCACTCAAGCGCCGCGACGTCCAAGGTGCTTAATGTGAGGCTACAGTAAAAGGAAACTATTTCTAACACAGCACCAGGTCGCTGTTCATACCTCTGGTCGCACCAAGCGGATGTGGTGTTCTGGCCGGAGCAATTAGCACTGGCACCATTGCGGTCCCCCGCGCCTTCGACATCAGCAAGCTCAAAAAGGCCAGTAGTCACACGAGCTGGCTTGCCTTATGCACGAGCTGTCAAGCTTTGAAGGGGTCATGGACATTCCCGAATCCACAGACCCATTCGCAGGCACACTTGCCACTTGCGCAACACGTATTCACTGCAAATGGCTGTGCGGAGGAATGGCGGGCTGAAGATGGGCTGAAGATACTGCCGAGCCGCTCTCCTCCTTGACCTCCTGTCAGGTGCCGGACGTAAATCGGAGTTGGACAAAGATATTTTGGATGCAGATTTGAAGGCAAACGGTGGGGAGAAGCGCATGTGAGGTCTTGATCAATGACATGGGGAAATCCACTATTCCGATCTTGATACCTGCTCTATCCCCAGGACAGTTTGGGTGCGTTTTTTTTTTGTTTTTTGTTTTTCCCGGATTTTCTTTCGTTTTTCGTCCCGGCCAGTAAAATGTCGTATTGTACAGCATTTTCTCGCGAAATTGACGTATTTTACACTAGCCCGCCAACATCCCCAGCATCGTTTTCAACATTTCCCGCATGTCCGACCAACATCCCTTGCATCACCAACAAATCGTGGGTAACACAATCAAAAAAGTAGCTGGCGGGTTGACGGGGTCAAAAAAATGATGATTCAAATACGAGGGCATTTCAATCCCTGTAAAAAAAAGAAGCGGGGGGGTTGGGGGGGGCTGCCGCGCCCCCCCCAAGATGTTCGAAGAAGTGATGATTCAAATAGGGGTGCAATTGAATCTCTGTAGAAAAACTAAAACGCAGCGTGGGGGTTGGGGGGGGTGGGCGGCAGCCCCCCATGACGTTCGAAGACGTGATGATTCAAGTAGGGGTGCAATGATTCAAGAACGGGTGCGATAGAATTTAAAAGGCAGCGGGAGGGTTGGCGTGGGTGGCTTCCCCTATGATGTTCGAAGACGTGCATACATACAAACATACATGGATTACATAGATTACATAAAATGTAGTATTTTACAGCATTTTCTCGCGAAATTGGACGCCCGAAAAAGTGATCTAAACAGTAGCGGGGGGGTTGGGGGGAGGCGGCAGCCCCCACCATGATGTTTGAAGAAGTGATGATTCAAATAGGGAGAACACTGGTGATGCTGATGATGCAAAAGCCAAATCCAAAAACCAATGAAAGGGTGCAAAAGCCAAAACGCCCGGAGAGGAACTGGGAAAGCAGAGGATGCGGAAAGCCAAAGCCGCCAAAAGCCGCATAAACCAGCGAAACGCCGCAAAAGCCAAAACGCAACCTGCCGCAGAGGAACTGGGAATGCAGAGGATAAAGCCAAAAAGCCCAAAGCCGCATAAACCAACAAGAAGCCGAAAAGCCAAGAAGCCGAGAAGCCAAGAAGCCAAGACAAGCCAAGAAGCCAAAAAGCCAAAAGCGAAAACAACTCAAAAAAAACACACTTCTTTAAAACAATATCCCTCCTTTGATACCCCCCCCACCCCATACCAGCGGGAAAACGCGTGCTTGTAGATCTGTAGCATGCTACAACGTCCAAAAACCAACCCCGAACGTCTAAGAGCCAAGCCACACAACCAACATATGACGCAAAACACAGTTAGCCACAACGCCGGCCACAGCCATGCTCACCCCCCGAATCGCCGCATGCCGCTTGCCCAGCCGCGCCTGCAAGGCTTGCTTCAGCGCGGGGGAGAATGCCGCAGGCGAGAGCCGAATTTCCGCTTTTGCCGCCTCGGGTGTTGGCCGGTGGAGGTTGCACAGTAACCCTTCCCAGCGCCTTTCAAGCATGATTGAGACTGGAAGGGACTTGTATTGCAACAGGCTAGCAACCATTGGCAAGGGCTATGGCTCGACTCATGACCTTGCCGTTGCCTCCATGTTAATCCACGCTGGCACGGCCAACCACAGTGTTGCATTACCCTGCTGCAACTGCTACTGTTGCTACTGTGCTTTGAGCAGCAATCGGTCTCACTGAACCCGGGCAAGGCCACTCCAAATTACCCCCCTGGCCGACCGAAAAAGAACACAGCTTGGCCCTTAAGGCAAGAAGAGCAAATATTGAAGCCACTTCTTGTGCGCTGCCAGTTTCGCCAGGATTGCCCGCCGGCTTGCCAGGCAATTCCGAGGCTCCGGGCCAGCATGATGCTGTCTGGGTGCGGGGGCCATCTAAGGCAGGGCTCAACGCCTCTGCAAAAGTCGGACACATGGGTGTGTCTTTGTGAGAGTTGCTTTTTGGTGAAGGGAAACCACGATGAGACCAACCATTTGGAGGCTCCCCCCAATTTGAGACAAAACCAGTTTGTGGAGATGTGGACCTCATATGCCGCGCAAAATAGCTATATCAGGTCAAAACACCAATAGCCAAGAATCCCGTTATCAAACACAGTGTTCATCAAATGTAATTTCCATCATTAAGCTTATTCTCTTTCATTGTGATTTGCTATGTCTCTCAACATGAGCATGCCTGATTACTTTCCAGCTAACTGTGAATAGCGCAATGATCATTGGAGCCGGTGCTCTAAGTGTCGAAAGTGCTCCAGCAAATACCGATATTATTTTTGCAGGGTAAAGGCAAACTCCAACCATAGTGCTGAGTGCAACAAAAAATGGCAAGCGCTCCCCAACAGGCCTTCAACGAACATGGTTAGAGCACTCGGATAAATGGTGAAATTGCATAGGCCTCGTCACATTGTGTAGAGGCTTTGATGTGGCTGTCTCATTCATGCATGCACTGCTTCCAGCTGTCGCTTAAAATGCCCAACTTCTGGTGGAACACCTTGCCGTAAAACCTCAAAATACAGCTTTCAAGGTCCAGGAACCTCGTGCATAGCTGTGTCTCGCAACACATTCAGCAAGAGGGCCCTTGGTAGCTGAGCCGAGGACATGCCAGCAAGTAAGTGGCAGAAGTTGGAGTTACCCACCTGGTGACGTCCAAAAACCAAGCCGCGGCCATGTGAATCTGCCACAGAAGCAGCATGCCGTTCCCTGGTAAATGGATGGCATGAAACCTATCCGGTGCCGTTTTGGATTTCATGGGGGCTTGGGGGGGAGGGAGCCCTAAGGCGGGGGAGGGAGCCCTAATAAGCCCTTATGAAGCCCCTAATAAGGCCTTATTTAGGATGCTCCATGAGATCAGCCCAACATACGCCCTCTTCGGCCATTGTGCTATTACCCCCGACCGCACGCCAGCGCGGACGAGTTGCAGGAGCTCCCATCCGCACGCACCTTTGGCGTCCGCTTCCTGGCATCGCCATCCGATGGACGCAAATCTAAGGAGAGAATGCCAAGCACACCTTGGCCAAAGGCTTATGGCCACTCAGGTGACCTGGACAGATTAGTAAGCACATGGTCAAGCGGCCCAGCAACAAATACAAGCCAATTCAAGGACATCTTTGCTACAAATGGTAGTACATTGAAATGCTGCCTGACGAGCGTAAAATCAAGACCAATCTATGGCACATGAAAGCATGCTGGTTTGTTTCATAGTTCCTTCATGCATGCTTCTGCCCCATTTGCTCCTCGCCACACCTTGCTTGCACAACTGCAACAAACTGGCATACCACCAGCAACCACCTTGCCCCTCACACCCTTCGGGGCTGCCGGCAGATTCTTCTCGTCGAAGTCGGCCGATCCCTGCCTGAATCCAGTGGCTGAAGGCTTCTGCCAGTGAATCCTTGAGCAAGTCGTCCAGGCTCTTCTGGAACCGGCCTCATGGGTTGGCGTGTGGCAGTGCTTCAAGCCATGTTTCAGGATATGGGGCCATATGGGGCCTTGGAAGGTCACTTTGGCTCAGCCAGTGGTTCGCCTGCATGCCCTCATGTGCTCCGTGACTGATTGGAGAACCCACTACCACGGCCTGCAACAAAGCCCAACAAAATGAAATTTGACGCAAGCATGCGGCTATCTTGGTTTTGAAATTTGACATAGACTCTGGTGAAGTGAAACAACCGACAATCATCATCGGGTTCATTCAGTAGCTGGGCTCTCATTGCCTTTGCATCCGCATGGCCATGCTTGGCTGGCATAAGAAGCTGTACAGGCATGGACTGAGGAACGGCAGAACCGAGGAAAACACGCCCTTGCTGGGAAAGTCATCTCACATCTTCCCGAATGGTGCCGAAATCCTTGCCGTGATCTTCGTCAGCCTTCCTCTGCTCTTTGCCAGGCCCTGCCTGTTTGCTTCCCCGACGTTTGGCTCACGCCGGTCCTAGACAAAACCATCTCAGCTTAGGAACCGCTAGGAGCCCCTTTTGCACCCTTCTACCGCCCTCCCAGCAAACTTTGGGACTCCAGCTGCTCGAGGAGCTTGCCGTCGCGTGGGCGAATGGCACAAGAACCTCCTGCCAGTTGGGCTTGCCAACGTGTCAGGCCAGCCGAAGCACCGGCTACCACGGTCAGTGACTGCCAGTGGATCTGCAACATGGTGAACCGTTTGCTAGCTATTTGGTAGCTCAGGCATCAAATTATCTCCCCCTGTTCCGGGAGCGCGTCCCGTGTCAAGCTCTCGCAGTCAGTGATGATGACTTCGAAGCCTTCTGGGTGTGCCACTACCTCAGTGACTGCATGCTGTGATAACAAAGGCAGCCGAGGCCTTTCTTATCAGCTCCCCCTGCCAAACCAGGCGCAATTTAGCCCGCAAGATCTGCGCTTAAAAGGCCCCCCCTCGTCCCACCACTCAGCAGGTCAAGCGTTGGGGTATGAACGGCTGGACTCACCTTACGCCCGAGGCGTGCATGCTCTGGCAAGCCTCGGGAGTAGTTGGTGAAATTCTGAGCTTGCGACTGACACTCTGCAGATCAGGCCAGCTGACACAGCTGCCACGTACAATGGAGCGTTTCGCAAAACCTTGGCAATGCAAATATTGCAATTGAGTGAGTTCCCAACACCTCCAAGGATGAGCAATTTTGCAGTGCAAAAACGTGCACACAACAGCCACATCAAGCCTGTAGCATGCCATCTCTTCCCCTGAAAGTAGGACTCCTTCTTTTGCCAAACGCGCAAAGAGCTTGGCCTGCAGAGAAGCCTTGGGACGTGCTTGGGCTTTGGCATCTGCCAGCGGCGGCAGAATCCTCAGACCGACCGCGTTTCGTGGTCGGCGACATTGACAGTCGCTTGGGTTTTGGGGTGGTTTTTGGGTCCTTCGGGACTGCTGGAATCCGGAGGAACACTTCACCTGGATTCTCTCTGTCAGAGAAATTCTGAGCTGCCGGCTCATTCCTGCAGTGCCTGTGCAAGGTGGAGGCCGGCAACCCGGGCTGCTTGTAGCGGATGTGCCTATGGAAGCGTGGCACACAGGAAGCATGGGAAGCCCCTGGACAGAAACAAACAAAAGATGGGACGGCAGTTGATGCAGTTGGTGAATCATAGTTGCAGAAGCACTCATCGTGTATGCGATTTGCAGCACATGGCGTCCCTAAAGGCCAGGACAGTGACAGTGATCGAATCAAACTTAAACCAAAACACATGCTTCTGCACCAGCTCGGCAATGCGAGGCGAATCGATGAAGTGTGCAATCCAGGCACCCTCTGGGGATATAGAGCTCAAAGTCCACCAGTGATCGCCCGGTCATGACCGGAGCATCCGCTGGAGTCTCGGCACCCGGCGCGTGCGATCAAGGGCAGTCAACGGGGATGGTCGAGATGACTTATGTCAACCTTACCCTCCTGGCCCAGGTGAAGGATTCCAAGAAGGTGTCCGAATTGATAGCTCTTGAGATAGTGGCTTGTGCTGACTGCCTTCCAAATTCGGTCCAGTGCCCAAGCAGCCAGACTTGGCCCAAAATTTCCAATAAAGGGTCCGGGCGCACCAACCCTTGCGGGCCTAAGATTCCCTCACTGGATAGTCATGGCCAGCAGGAACCACAGCTCATTTCACTTGGGTGCAGTTCGGGGTGGGATGTGGCCTGAGGCATCTGCATATTGAATTCTCTCTGCAACCGCCGCGGCCGCAGAGTGCACCCACCTGGCTACACTCCGCTGGTCCGTGTTTTTTCTCCATTTTTTTCCGGGCCTTCGGCTCAAGCAGGGAACCCGCCTTGTGACAAGGCATTCCCTCCGGTCCAAGACTGGCAACACATCCCACATGCGGCAGGACCATACGGAATGCCCGGCATGGCTGGGCTTGGATCCCAAAGTCCCTCAAACAATGCCACGCAAGACTCCCCAACGGGTGAGTCGCGGCCACCCAAGATCATGGAGAGATCTAGTGACTCGAATGCAAAGAGTGCAGCCATGTTCCTGCAGACTTGCGACCAAAGAGCTACCAGGTGAGTCAGCTATGTGTTCGGCGGCCAGCTGAATGCAATGCCGCTTGCGGAGAATCCGCATCAACCCCACGTCAAATCCAGGCGCAGAGGCAGCCAAGAGTACTACATGATCAAAGTAAGAAGTATCGGGGCTCAGCCGAAAGGGGCGCATGCCTCTTCGCTTGCGAACTAAACATGCCTATGCATAACTATTTAGGGAAACCGCCCGTCACACTATCAGCACGTGAACACTTCGGCCATGGAGTGATAGAGCCACTAGTTGCACCAGGGTTTGTGGGAAATGACCGCCACTGATGGGCCTTCGCAGCCAAATCTCAACCCAATAGCCAGAACGCTGTTGACGTATTGGACATGGCACGAACAACATATCAGGAAGGCGTATATGCACCCCTTCATTTTTGTTGGTTGCTGTCCACAAAGGATGCAGTGGTGATCCTGCAATAGCTCCATGCCTTCTACTGTTTTAAGCGATCCAAGAAGCTGAGCTGGCACAGGCTCAAACAGGTGCCTCAAACGTGCACAAGTCCAAGTCCAGCAACTACCATGCTGGTGGCAAGCTGTCGAAGCCCAGAAAGGCATTGCCTTCACTCGCTTTCATTGCCCAGCCTCATGGCTGGCACTTGCACAGACCTCTGTGGCATTTGAAGCCACACTGGGTCTGTGCTCGCGTCTTCCACCTGCCAGCTGGCATGGGTGCAGCGGCCCAAGGCCAGCGCGCACAAAGAACATCAGCCTCCAAAGACATGCGTCGGATCAACTTAAACTTACCCATTGAGCCGCTTTGGCAATGAAAGTTGCGCGAGTTGCGCTGCTCACTCGCATTCTCAAAGGTTGCTGTGCGAAGCCCATATTTGAAGGAGCTGGCCAGTCCACTCCAGCAACCAATGTGCCGCTGCTTGATCCCTGCTTAGGAACCGAGATGATCCGACTTTGGCTGGCAAAGTGCATTCGCACTGCTGAGCATCTGACCACGAGGCTGCTAGCATGGGTGAACCTTGGCAGCTGGGCATCACTCAAGCGGGAATCAACATGACTCAAGAACCACGTGGCAAGCCAAAGCGCAAAGTGACTGGCCCAAAGGATTGTATTCACAAATGCCTGGCCCGCAGCCCACCAAGAGCAGCCAAGCCAGAAAACAGCCACAAGCAACACCTCTTTACAACGAAATGGGGCCCCGTTGCGAGACAAGGGTGTTCAGAAAAGAAGAAGAAACAACGATGCCGGCAACATGGCAGCCCTTGGCCGTCGGCCCCGAAACAATCAATCGCAGGACAAGAGGCTTCTGACCGGCCGCGCGGGAAATACCAATGTCCAGAGGGGATGCCTGTCAGAAGCCGGGCTTTACAGCCGAAAGGTCAGAAAATGTTCAACCGAACTGACTGGTGATCGCTTCTGCTCTGCCTTGGCTGGGAAACGCCTCATCAACTCGCAACAAACCCTTGCTATGGTTTAGGAAGCCACCGTGGCACGCGATGATTGTCTTTGGCACTGCACTTTGTGAGATGAATTGCTCGAGGTTCCACGGGTCTTGCAAGGGGCTCTTTCGCTCGCAAGGCCCTGGCCTCTGCTACATCGTCCCTGGCTCGATGGGCAAAGAGGAACTCGCGCTCCTGCCCACACAGCTTCCCAACGTGCCGAAAGCTTCACCCGTCTCTTTCAATCTCGTCTGAGGCACATCTGAGGCAATCACCCATGCTTCAACTTTTGGACGCTGAGGAAATAACAATTGGGCTCATCTCCCTTTCAGAGATCGCTTCGTAGTGCGCTGAAACCAAGATGCGAAGTCCTTCCAGGTAAGGTTTCGGGTCGTGTCTACCTGACTCGCGGTGCAAACAACTGACTTGAAGTCTCGGCTTACAGGCTTGATGACATAGGCACTTTCGCGGTGCGCCGTGCGCCATGGACAAGCGCCCGCTGTGGTTGAAACACTCTTAGGCTCCGGCATGGTACGGCTCCAGGCCCCCTGTACCTCAGAAGTCTCTGTGGCCATAGGACACTCTGAGGAGAGCAAATGTGTTTGCTGGAAGGCCAAAATGCAGCATCTTGCGCAATACCAAACCTAGAGGCATTTTTTTTGCTGCGGAAAGCAACCAACATCGCAGAATAGAACATATACCATATCGGAAGCAACATCTCGCTTGTTCATGAAGCCATACTTGTCAACCGCCCAAGGTCCTTGTTTGGTGCTCGCAGCGCATGGCCCGGTGGCCCGCTGAGGTGGCCACAGCTGCGCTTGCCATGCACCACCTCGTTGCCGCAGAAGCCCCCAGAGTCGAGCTACTGGTTTGAGGCCACAAATTGCCAATGCAAATGATAGACTCTGAAAACAGCCAGCCAAACATGCAGAGGACCCACTCAACCATGCTGCGCGAACTCAGGAGTTCTTTGCCAATTCCAAATTTGACTTCCCGCATTGCAGCTGGGCAATGACGTGGGGTGCTACACTTTGGTTCTCCAGGTGCTTGGCCAAACCTTGGGGACCTGGGGATCGTCATATTCGGAAGTCTCGAAACGGAGGGCTCGGACAAGTGCTCGGGTCTGCGTGATGGCGCCCCTAGGGCCCAGGCCGTGTACCCACGACACGCTACGCCCCGAAAGTCGGGCTCTGCCTGAGCGAGGCTCCTGTAAGGCTTTGCATAAGCCTCTCGCAAAGTCACGCAAAATGCAACTGACTCTCGCAAACCCATCCATGAAAGCCCATCTTGGAGACTGGTGTCAATACTTGAACAACAGCGCAAAGACTTTGCCCACCTGTGAGATCACTGTATATATAGGCTATACAAAATGCATTGAACAAAGCAGCTCCAACATGCCACAGAAAGATTCTACTACGAGTTCCGCCCTCAAGTCCAACGTTGACCCAAGAAGAGAACAACATGCTCTTGGCTTTTGGGATCCTTTGGGCAACAGGTCACAGTGCACCGAACAGGCTGAACATTGCGCAAAGCTGAGCTCGCAACATCTGCTTCGGTTTCGCCCACGACCAGTCCGAGCACTTGCCTTGCTTTCGCCCACAAGCAGGCAGCAAAAAACAGGAAAACCCCGCAAAGGCATGCCCAGGGATTGGGCTAGGATCTTTCAAAAGCAGCTTGCACGCGAGTGGATGAATTGGCTTCATGAGTTCCAGTTTCAGAAACAGCGAGACACCCGACATACCCCACAAATTTGCACAGGCCCCCGGCTGGACGTAGCCGCTCAGGGCCTTGCAGTTGAATCGCGAAGCAGCACATTCACGCTCTACCTCCAATCTGCTGTGCTTGGCTGCTTCTTCCCACCTGCCCTCACTCACTTACGTCTCTCTGGCTGGCACATCACTGTTGGAGGCTTGCCACCGGCCTGAAGGCCAGAGTCTGACATCGTGGCTCCTGCCAGGTGGGACCGCAGGTGATGGAGTCCCCGACCCGGCCCTGTTATATTTTTTATTTTATTTTATTTTTTTTTGGGGGGGGAGGAATCGTCTTGGCATTTGTGTTGGGCGCATTTTGCGCATTGCAGTGGGTGAAAACAATCTAACGCATGCCTCGGTGAATTGCTCCCATCCAAAGCTATCGTTTCAAGCAGCGGGTGTCAGCGGATCCTTTTCGTAAAGATACATACGCGCATGGCGGGTGATCAACTCTCTCTTCAGGAAAATGCAAGGAACCCGTTCGCGCTCCAACCAACGCATCTCAATATGCTTGCCTTCTAGCTTTTGGAGGGGGCCTATCGCGTTAACGCTTCAAGCAATTGGCAGCTCCAGCTCGAAAGTCGCAACTTTTCAGCAAAGAGGTATACACTCTGGCAGCTGGCTTGAAGGTCACAACTTGTAAGCAAAGAGGTATGCACTCTGGCAGCCGGCTCGAAGGTCACAACTTTCTAGTACAAGCGTAGTAAAGGAAGTACGCGTTGGCAGCTCCGGCTCAAAAAATGCAACTTTCCAGTCAGTACAAGCGTAGAAAAGGAAGTACGCGTTGGCAGCTCCGGCTCAAAAAATGCAACTTTCCAGTCAGTACAAGTGTCGAAAAGGAAGTACGCGTTGGCAGCTCCAGCTCAAAAAAACAACTTTCCAGTACAAGCGTAGAAAAGAAAGTACGCGTTGGCAGCTCCAGCTCAAAAAGAAAATCCAGTACAAGCGTAGCAAAGGAAGTACGCGTTGGCAGCTCTGGCTCCAAAAATGCAACTTTCCGAGCGTAATAAAATAAGTACACTTTGGTAGCTCCGTTTTGCGAAGAAAGGCGGACACCTTTCGTTAAAAACATGCATCTCTTTCGCGAGCTCCTTCGCCAATCTTTCGTGGGCCCATCAACAAGCAGCAGGATGGCCCTACACGTACTAAGCCCTGACAGGGAGCTTTGTATCAACACCCACATGCCGTCGACCAACAGTCACAGCACATCGTTCCTCAAGACAGCTTGTGCCCTCGGAAGGGCCTGCAAGCCGCTTTTCCAGCCTGGGGAAACGTGCAGCATGCTTAGCAGGCTCCCAACAATGCGCCCGAAGTCTATTTTCTACGGGTCTGCTTGACCTGGTCAAGGCTCTTCCGATGCCCGGTGGCTTTCCTGCAGCTTGGATTTGCTCACTGAGGCCTCAATCCTTTGCCACGCTTCCCCTCAAAAGCGATCAACACAACTTCCGCCCAAGCAGTCCTTTCCACCATCAAGCAAGTCTTTTGCTTAGAGTGGTGGAGACTGAAACCCTGGGCCGGACAAAAATGCAGTTTCCTTTTTGGCGTAGTAGAGCTCGAAAGGTAGAGTCCTTGCAACAACTCACCTACACACAACTTGCAGCCCACACATTACAAATTACTTGTTTTGAGTGAAACAACTCATTGGCAAAGCATGTTCGGCTTGTTCCTTCTTCGACATTTTGCACTTCCCTTCAGGGAGCTGTGTGAAACTGAGCCGCAAGGACAGCGGGCGATGTGAAGGCATCCCTGTTGATGGGCCTGAACTTCATTGGGGTTTCACTGCCCCGTGGCCTCTCCCGTCGGATAAATTGCTAGTAGAGCGGCAAATGGGTGCAACTAGATCCTATAGAGTGGGAAAGGCTGACGGATGAAACCCTGCAATTTGGCCTTTGGCAATCAAATCTGAATGCGTGGCTGGAGCGCTACGTCTTGCTGGGCTTCACTTGGCCACTTGTCCAGTCCCGCCCAAGGCATTCCAGCATGTTCGCGCTGAAATTTTCATTCAAGCTGTGCGATTTGTTGATTTCTCGTTGGCGCCAAAAAACTAGCTGGGCAACATAGCGCATGCGCCGCTTGCAGCGAGCAGCGACTCTCTGGATACATCATTGGCTGCCCCAAGGGGCCAATTGAATTCATGTGTGACCTTCCCGGCTGGCCTTTGTCAGGCATGCGAAACAGTCCAAGGACTGTAGGTCAACTTGCAATTGAATTGTCTGCACATTCTTCAGCGCGAACCAAGCAGCTCCAGCGCAAAGCTGCAGATTCATGGTACTGTTCTCATGCTTCATTGAAAATGCCATGCAACAGCCTTACTACATACACTGTTCCCCCAGCTGGGGCATGAATTGCATGTATGATGGCAACCCATATATGTGCAGGCATGTCATTTACTGCGGTGCGCTGGCGCTCTAAGTTTGAATCTTTGACTCAGGCTTGCACCTCAGGATATGACAGCCGGCGGCGGCACTTGGTGGGAGAGGCCCGGGGGCTGGACGCGCGTGGCAGCAAGTGGCGGCCCAGGGGTGTGGGCACGGGCTGTGTGGGCTGCGGCCGCGTTTTGGGCTCCGAGGGCGTGTGCCTGTCGAAGAAGATGATCTTCTCGGCCACGCAGCCCACGGGCGGTGCCTCGTCGTGGGGCGTGCCGCTGCGGCTGCGCTGAGGCAGCGAGCTGGCGCTGCTGCTGAGGCAATACAACGAGGCACCTGGGGAGGCGCCGCGGGTGCCTGGCCGCACAAAGGGCCGGGGCGCATCGCTCAAACGCGCAGGGGCAGAGGTGGCGCTCTCTGTAGGGCTGGGCATCACGACTTCCCCGGAAGAGGGGGCCAGGGAGGAGACCAAGGAGGACCGGGGCTTCTGTACACCAGATTTCAGGCTGGGCGCGGCAGACAAGGGTGAGCAAACCAAAGCGCCCGCACCGCAAGCTGCCTCCGCGGCATTGTTGAGAAGCACTGGTAGTGGAACACTTGGGGCCGGCTCCTCGAAAACAAAAGTGCTCCCTGTGGACTCTGATGCTGGGGTCAGCAGCGACGGGGAGAACAACTGCCTGCAAGTGCTGTCCCTTCTGGGCAGCAGGTTCACCTCCTGAGCAGCTGCCTGAATAAGCTGCGCGACCTGGTGGTGGTTCTGCTCTTCGTAGAACCCTTGCAGGCGCTCCTGTCAGGAAGCGTGCGGGATTCAAAGCGTTAGACCAGTCCCACATGCTTTATGATATATATTTATATACTCCTCCAGATACGGATCCAACGCGGCAACTGCCTGCCTTGAGCTCTGCAATCTGCTCCTTTTGCTGCTGATCTCGGTCCTTCTGCTCTTGTGCCTGCAAACTTGCCGCCGCAGAGTCATTTTGTTGCTGGCAGCATCTTGCACTTTGTGTGGGTGTCTTGGTGAGTGCCAGGTAACTGCAAATTCGAGAGGTGGGCAAGGCGTAGCCAATGGGAATCTGTTCAAGTATGTTGGATGTGCTTCGAGACCCAAGCAGTAGCAGGCACAAACTGCTAGCTCATCGTGTCAGGCATTGCAGTATACTGCATAATTTTCGCCCGTGGTTGCATGCCAACTCGTTAAGGATCTGTCGCCGCTATAAGCGCACATTAGCGCTGCAAGGGCTCTTTCTTTCCCCTGCTTGACACAACCAAGTGACCAGCAATGATGATTTGCCTTGCTTTCAGCAAAGATCGCTGGAGCAACATTGGCCCATCAACCTTCCCAGGTCCTTGAACAACCCGTGCAATCAGTTACTACTAATTGCCCCTCCCGACATAGTCCCGATGTGAAGCAACGTGCTGTTGGCCCCGTTGCTGTGGGCAATTTCAGCTACCCTTTCGCCCTCTTTCCCCATGCGGAACTGGTGGGTTGGGGGGGGGGGTGGCCCACTGCCGAGAAGTTTCATCCCTTGCAACGAGTCAAACAACCTCTTCAGGACAAAATCAAAAATCAAATCCAGCAACATCCACAAAAATCCAGAAAACCCCAAAGAACCTTCATAAATTTAGAGGCTCCCCCTTGGCATTTTGCCCCTAGCCCAGTGACCCCAGTGGACCGACTGGACCGACCCCACCGGGCGCCTCCCGGGCGAGTCTCAGCAGCTCCGCCTGCCGCTGCTCGGAGAGGCGCTGCTCCTCCTGGAGCTCCGCGCGCAACTGCAGCAGCTCCTGGCGACGAGTCGGCTGGGTGGCTGTGGCTGGCTGTGGGTGGCTGGGTGGGTGGCTGGGTGGGTGGCTGGGTGGGTGGCTGGGTGGGTGGCTGGGTGGTGGGCCAGAAATTTCACTTCAAGGGGACCGGGGTGCAGAATCTCAAGGGGGGCGACCGGGGTGAAGAATCCACTGAACAGGTGGGTACCTGACTCACTGGAAAGTCTGCACGGAGTCAGCTTCCATGGCCACGGAAGGGCTGCCTCGCTTCGTCTCGTTGATTGAAACCATGGCTTCAGATTCATGCACTGTATGTGACACCAAAATGTGACCTAGCTGACAGAATGCATTCGACTCTGCACCAAAAGAAGGAAGCCATCCAACTCGAACATGGTTCCAAGAAAGTTCCCATAACTTATTTGTCTTGCGTCTTTGAGCCCTCAGCTTGCTATTGCCAGCCCCCCTTTCCCGAGGCAGTAAGCAACTTTCTGATGACATAGAGCCAAGGCGGGACATCAAAAAAGGTCACACCGAAACCCGCTTAGCAAGCCCCTTTGGGTTAGGTCCGGAACGACGGAATCTGCTCCATGGTCCATGAAAGATATGATAGTTGTGAATGTCGAAAGGCACATCGAGAGTCACAATTTAGTCTGCGCTGCAAGGCAAACCGCAAGCGGACGTGCGCCTGTTCCTCCCAGCGTTCTGCCTTGATCCGGGCCTAGCAAAGTGTGAGCCCTCTGGGCCCAGAAGACTGATGGGCAAAGTGGCTTGCTCCTTGCCCTCACACAGGGCTTCTCCGGAAAAGCGGTTCCGAGTGCCCCATGGTTGTGCGATTCTGCTGGGTTTCAGGAAGCAACTCACACCTGTAATTTCACGTCGACCCTTTATTCGGACCTCGGAAGAACACTCCCAGTTTCACCCCACGGCCGACTCCCAACGAACACCCCCCCCCCTAATTGGGAAACGGCCTAAGGAAGGTTCTGGCCATGGCCTTGGCTTATACCGTATAACTTATACCCCCCCCTAAACACACCGAACGAGTGACAGGGCACCCTACTTCGAAGCCAACAGCCAACCACCCTGCCTCCGCCTTGGCAGCCAGGGCCTCTGCCTGGCTCTCCCGGAGCAAGGCCTCGGCCTCACGGAGCTCCGCGTGCACCGCGCCCAGCTCTTCCTTGGAGACGGCCGCTTTGGCCTAAGCGATTGCACAAAGGATCCGCAAATCTGGGGCCCTTGGGACATTTGACTCAGAGCTGAGCATTTCCAGGCCGGGGTCCGCAGTAGGCAAAGTTCACACGGGGGTGCAATAAGAGACGGCCAGGGCACGGCATTTTTGGCATCAAAGGGGCAGTGACATCATGTCCCTTCTGCTTTTTGTGCAATCCATCTGTGAGCAACCACGAAAAAAACTGCGACGCATACAAACACGCATGCAAACGCCCGCGCCCGCGCAAACACGCAAACACACGAACACTGACGGGCAGAAGGGCAAGGGGCAACATTCTTGCCGCAGTTGGCTTTTGAACTTCAAGGAAGAAGCAAAAGGAATTGTGCAATATTGCAGATCTCTGCTTTCCCGCATAGAAGCGTAAGGTCCAAGAAGTCGTCCCAACGTCGTTTCTTCTGTGCTTCATCCCGGGGAATCACAAGATTATGGAAGCCCAACATGAAGTCTCTTTCAGCACCCAGAAGCTCATCCCCATGGAATCGCAATGATAGTTCGGTTTTGTGTGATGCGAGTTGGTCGTCGTGCAAACATGACACGATCCAATTAGCGGGCCACATTCAGCAAATCTCGGTGCAAGCTGAACAACGCACCCACACCAAACACTTTTCCCTGTTTGTGTCTCCAAATGAGGGATCCGACCCCCCAAAATTTCCTTTGCCTTTCAGTAAGCCAAGCTAAAACATGGTACGCTCAAAAACCACAGCGACCCATAGCGACCCATAGCGACCCCTAGCGACCCCTAGCGGCCCATAGCCCCATGCGCGCCTCACAGTCTGCGAGGCGATCCTGTGCCAGGCTCCGCTCCTGGGCCACCTTGGCCGCCTGCGCCGTCTGGCGCCGCGCGGCCGCGGCGATGGCGCCCAACATCTCCAGCAACTCCGCGCAGGCGTCCTGAAGGAAGTCTGGGATGCTGGGGGGGGATGGGGGGGGGATGGATGGGAGTGGGGGGATGGGCGTGGGGATGGGGGGATTGGAGCTGCTCGTGGGTTGATTCGTGAAGCTGGCCTCTGAAGCAGGTGCCACACCACCAGTTAACATGCAATGACAGCTGAGAGTCACGGGTAAAAGAAGCAAAAACAATCACTTCCTCCACAATCCGAACCGTCCGCTTGCTGAACCCTTCGCCAAAACTGCGCCGTTCCCACCTTCCGGGAGGTCGGGGTGAGAGCGGAGAGGTCCCCATCCGAGGGCACGTGCTCCATCTTCCGCTGGGCCACCCGCTGGGCCACGTATTGCTGCAGCTCGTGACGGTTCGGCTCACTGGAGAACCTCCAAAACTCGATCCGTCGAGTGGTTCGGATTCGGGGCACCCCTTCAACAGTTCGTCATCCTGGAACCTTCTGAAACAACTTGCTCAATGCAAAATTACACCAGCATAGATCTTGGCTGCATCGCCAAACAAGCACCGCAGGACGTCTCACCAGTCGAGGACACGCAACATCTGGACAAAATGTACAAGAAAGGACACGCACACCAATGTACAAGAAAGCAAGGGACAAAATTCCAGCTTCAGCATGCTGCCAAGCGATTCTTCGAAAGCATCCGGTCAAATCACCGCCTCAGCGGCAGCTGCGGCTCCCGCTGGTTCAAATTGGGCCCCCGCCCTGGGCTCGGCGTGGGCACTGAGCAGGCTGGTCGGAGCCGCCCTGGGCTTGGGGTGGGCACGGAGCTGACCGGCCGGGGCGGCCCCGGGCTGGCGCGGCTCGTCTCGGCGCCAGAGTCCGCAGGGTGCCAGCGGCAAACCTCGAGGGATCGCAACATGGAGAGAACCTGGATCCGTGCCAGAAACCTGTTTGCTTTCGCATGTCTGGTTTGTACTCTAACATCTCTGGCCCTGACCTGCACGAAAGCCTCCGGGCGCGTTGCCGCTACAGCGGTTACGGGCGGGTGCACCCTGGGCTCCATGCGCATGCGCCCAGGAGTCCCAGGAGAACCCTGGTACATGGGAGGCGTGCGCCAGCCGCATGCGGTCATCCCCCCAACAGTCCCAAAGTCAGGCTGGGAGCCACGCTGCGGTTCAAACAGCCAGTCATGCAGGCCACAAAGAGCACCTGGTCACGCTGTCATTACAAGCTCTAATTAAATACCTGGTGTGACCCCGCAGCGCCTGGCTTTGACACAAGTCGCATCGAACAAGAAAGCTAATTCGAACAATGTCAAGGCAAGCACGCCTGCTTCCGCGCACATCCATCCAGTCTCAGCTTTGCAAAAGACTTTATCTCTTGCAGTGCTGTTGGGGCAGCTTGATCATTCCTGCGTTCCGGAGGGAGCACGAAAGAACTGGAATAACACCAGAGCTAACAATTTTGCACCAGAACCATCAAACTTGCAGGCAAAAGGCCCACCGGAGGGATCCATAGACTCACTGTCCTGGATCGCACCAGGTGATCTCAGGGGATTTGGCCCCTTCTGCAGGATCACGCCCTACTCGATTGTGACGGCCAGCTGCACACCCTCAATCCACGTGGCTGTTCCGATGCCTGCGGCTGTCCGTGAGGGATGGCAGCTCGAATTCCTGGGCAAGCCGAACAAACAACCATTCAGAACATCGTGGTTTCAACTGGGTAAAGGTCAATCCATATTTTCCGAAAGGGAAACCACCCACTTTAACCAAAATGACCAGAACATGTGATGCCCTCAACGGAGGCCTGCTCATTTAGTTGAAGCTGTGCCTGCGAAGTAAAGCTGGCCTGCCACCAAGCCACGGCCCGCAGAAGCACCTGAGCAACACGCCGGCTCGGCTCTTGCAACAATGAATCGGTACATTGCCAAGCGCGCATTCAGCGAGTGAGCATGAAAGCCCTTTGAATTTGAATGTTGGACGTTTCATCAACTGAGGATCCGATGAATCCACCGTGCCAAGCAAGGCCACATGACGATTTATAGCCGGAACTACGGGAATGCGAGCTGCATATCGCAATCAGCCATTACTTGGACCCCCAACAGGTCGTACATTGTTTAGCTGCTGTTTATGAAGTGAGGATTACCAATTTCAGGCTGATTGTTTCTCACAACCAAATCCAAAATGTTCTTGAAACAAGTTGAGCGCTGCACTTCCCCTCCACGCCACTGAAGGGTTGTCAACCGACTAGCCGAGGCATCCCATTAACTGCTTGGTCGCAGTGTAGCAATCAGAATCGAGTTGGAGTACAACCCACTAGAACAACAACACGCGCAACCTGCAAGTACTTATCTCGCCCTTGAGGCTGGGGCATTGCCCAGAAGTCGGCGCTTGTAATTGTATGCGAAGATGCCGGTGAAGATATACAGCAGCGCGCCTCGGTCATGTCCGGTTCAGACATTGTGTAAACCAAGGCCAGCATTCACTTGTTGAGGGCAACAGCGAACACACAACTCAGAATTCATGGGCCGCTACCGATGTAGAACGTCTGCTTGAGACTGCTTGAGTTCACTTGTCATGGACCCCCCCTACTCATCACATCAAGGTTCCAAGCACGCACCTAGGATGTCACACAGGTGATGCAATTGCTTTGTCCCAAGGAACCAGAAACATTGAATGCCATTTGGGCATAATTTGGCGCCATGTCTGCCGTAGTAGTTGGGCATACTTGGGTACTGTAGTTGTTGCTACTGGAGCTCGCCTGGATAGGACCAAAGCTCCGCTACCACGTTAATGCACAATGTTATCACAACACTCAAACAAATGCTCAGTAGTCTGCACTGTTCTGTTGCCTGCAATGCTTGATAGCTCAAGGCCCGTAGTACACCATTTGTGGTCCAACATGTAGTACAGGACTCAAGTTGACATCTCTCTCTCACACACTATCTCTCTCTCTCTCTCTCTCTCAAGCCGTCCCTGAAAGCCTGTCGGCCAAGCTGCTGCCGAAGCAACCCCAGGCTGCGTCCTTTTTAACGTCCGGCTCCAGCTCGATCATGGGAGAGCCCTGCATCTTCAAGTCGTAAAACTGAATTTCGTGGAAGAATACGGCAAGTGCGAGGCATGCGTTCTTTCACTTTGCAGCACGCTAGGTTTGGCAGCACACACACACACACCCACGCACCCACGCACGCACGCACGCACGCCCATGCCTCCACCTCGCCTGCTCTTATACGCTTTGCGCTGCTGCCTGCAGCCTTACAGCAGCATATGCGCTGCCTGCCCAGCCCCTGCAGCACCATACATATAGCGCCCGCACCCACCGCGCGCACCACTTGCCGCCGCTGCACACCTACGCTTTACGCACACACACACACACACACACACACACACACACACACACACACACACACACACACACACACGCACACACACGCACACACACACACACATACATACGCCACGCCCGCACTGCATACGCCTGCAGCCTTCTTCTTGTATGTACTCTTATACATATATACACACATATACGCACCCACACACACACACACACACACACACACACACACACACACACACACACACACACACACACGCACACGCATCGCGCTGCACTTTGCGCCTGCCATCCACGTTTTGAGCACCCTTGCCTTCTGCCTTCTTTGCCACTTGTGTGCTGGCTGCAGCGCATCACGCGCCTTGACGCGCCGCCTCCATCGCCCGCCACATGTGCATCTGCTCACGCCGCGCCTGGCCTCTGCAACCTTGCCTCCTGCCCAGCCTGCGGCGCACGCGCCTGTGCCTGGCGCTTCTTGCTCTGCCCATACCTTCTTAGCCTGCCTGTGCCTGTGCCTGTATACTGTGCCAATGACATACGCACCCACACACACACACACAGCCAGAGCCACAGACCAGAGCCACAGACACAGACACAGACACAGGCCTGAACCTGAGCCCAGACACAGACACAGACTACAGACACAGACACAGACACAGACACAGACACAGACACAGGCCTGAGCCCTGAGGCCCCAGGCCTGAGGACACAGACACAGGCCACAGACACAAACACAGGTGAGGGCCACAGACACAGACCTGAGCCACAGACACAGACACGACTGAACCTGACCTGAACTGGGACACAGGCTGGAACCTGAGCCACAGACCTGGTACAGGAACTAGAGACCACAGACCCCTGAACCCCACCACAGACCTGACCACACACCACACCCCACACACCCACACCCACCCACACATGCACGCACGCCATCACGTCATCACGCCAGCATATATGCCTTACCTGCAGCACACACACACACACATGCATGCGCATACATGTGTGTCGCACACCACACACACACCTGCATACGCCGCCGCACGCCACGCACGCCTGCTGCCCTGCCGAGCCGCCAGCACCCACACCAGCGCCTGCTACCTGCCTCTTCTCCCGCCACTGCCTGCGCACCCTTTTCCAGCACCCCCAGCTACGCATACAGCACCCACGCACCCACGCACCCACGCACCCGCACCCCACGCTGCATGCCACGCACACACACACACACACACACACACACACACACACACGCGCACGCGCTGCGCTGCGCCTGCGCTGCCTTTGCCGCTGCATACACGCTGCCTTCTTTCTGCCCACGCAGCACACGCACACGCACACGCACACGCACACGCTACGCGCACGCGCTGCAGCACCGCGCATGGCCGCTTGTATACCTGTGCCTCTGCCGCAGCTTCTGTATACTAATATCCTGTGTCTGTGTCTGTATCTGTATATGTATACCCTTTATACCCAACCATCTGTCTGCTCCACCACCTGAGCCTGAACCTGAACACAGACATTTGGTGAGTCGGGAAGCACACTGAACCCATCAGACCTGAGACACAGACCTGAGAGGTCAAATCAAAAGCCAGACTGGACACAGACACAGACCACAGACACAGACCTGGACCCAAAACTGAACCTGAGCCCACAGACTGAGACACAGACGGGCCACAGACCGGGCTAGACACACACAGTGTCACAGACTGGACACACACACACCCACACCCACCCACACCCACACCCCCACACCACACACCCACCATACAACCACCACCAAGCTGCACATGCATAACGCCTTGTACGCTGTACATGCCTTGCCTCGCATGCGTACTGCAGCTCTTGCCACCACCACCCCACGCACACACCCACATACATGTATCATGCATATACATATAACATACTTTGTAGCACCCTGCCTTCTTTTATACATATATACATATATATGCTGTACATGTACATACATATATATATACACATGCAGCATATATACATACATATATATGCCTTAAACAGGAACTGCCTTGGTGGACATTCATCCCCATACTTTATGCACATACATGCCTTTACTTTATGCCTTAACATATACTTATGCTGTATAACACTTCCATATATGTATCCATGTACCAACATCCCTGTCAACTCTTCATCATACTTTATATGTGTATGTATGTATACTTATGTATATATGCCTTACATGCGCTTAACATGTATGCATGCCCATATGCCTTAACGCATGTGTATACTTTTATGCCCCTTCTTTGCACATACTTGTATGCATACGCACATGTATGCATGTATGTATGCGTATGTGCTAACGCTGCATATAACATGCTAACACATGTATGTATGTATGCTGTATGTATGCATACATGCATACATACATGCATGCCTTGCATGCATGCATAACGCATGCATATATGCCTGCAGCATGTATGCCTGCATACTTATGCGTGCATACGCACGCTCACGCCACGCACGCCGCCCGCATGGCTGCGCCTGCGTGCGTGCATGCACACCCACACGGCACCCACACCCACACACACACACACACACACACACGCACACACACACACACACACACACACACACACATACATACTGCGCCCACGCCCACCCTCCCACCTGCCTCTCTTGTCCCTTGCCCTGCACTGCTATACCTTACATACATACATACATACATACATATATGCATGCCCTTTGCTGCCTGCGCACCCACGCACCCACACCATACGCACCGCACCACGCATGCCCCACGCTGCACTTACGCACACGCACACACACACACACACACACACACACACACACACACACACAACACACACACACACACACACACA